GTGAGAATCAGCTGTCTTCATTCCTACATCAGTTCTGCACCCTTGTCACATTGAGTGTTGCATCTGGTCACCTAAGAGTCACCTTAACTTGGTGAGAGGTCAGAACATCATCCATCTCCCTCTGGCCCCCTTGGTGCTACCTATTTTTCAAGAGAGACTCCTCCAGTGGGGGATGGCATTGATAAGTCCCAGTGATGAATCAAAGACAAGTCAGGGAGCTTCTGACTCATTTGTGACCCCAAAAGGGTCCGAGAGGCTTCTCCCCATGTTCCCAGAGCAGGCTCTTGGCCCCTTGGTGTGGGAATTAGAGACCAACTGGCCCTGTGAGCCTCACCGTCATGACTTCAGTGCAGACTATTTTGTGTTGAGAGCTTTGAGGCCTCGAAGGCCAGGAGAAGCTTGTCTTGGCCTAAGTCCTTCCCTTCCCCAATCCAGAAGATGCTATCCTGCCCTAAGTTTTTACCCTTGTCTTAACCAAAGAGCAATCACTGCTTCTCCTTTTATGACCTAGAAAAGAGTAGTTTGGGGGCTCATCCAGATAAGCTTTTATCAGCAATTTTATCAACGCGTTTCCTCTCAGAATCTCGTATTTACTGAGGTTAACGATGAGGTGACCCCCATTTAGGGCCTGTCAAGTGACATCTCATCCCTCTCCTGGATGCCTCAGGTCCCTAAGTGCAGGAAAAGCATCCCTGTGTTTGCTCCATTGTTCTTTGGAACAACTTACAACCACATTGGTTATTAAATTGATTGTTTGCCTTTGCTAACCTGCTTGAGGCTGATTTGATTTTCTTTTTTTCTCTTATGCCCGGACACCTTCCTCCTATAAACAATCACGGAAGCTGGGAAATACATAAGACCACACTTTGCAGGTCGGGACAATAGTGGAAGCAAGCACAGAGCAGGTTTTCTGCCTCAGTGGCTTTTTCAGGCTTTAATATTCTTTCCACACTAATTGATGTCGTGCTAACCTGCAGGCTGGCAAGGCCGGGAGGCTGGAAGGCTGGCAGGCCTCCAAGCCCCCAGAGAATCTTTCCTCTTTCTCTCTGGGCTCTCTCTGGTGTTTTCTCCCTCTTGCAGCCATCACTCGTCCTCTAGTGGCCGTGCTGTAGCCATTTTGCTGCTGAGTGCTGCCGCCTTTATAACCTCAGTCTCCAGGCTCAGGTGTGCCCACTTATGCATGCCCACACCATACTCCACGTGTCCACCATCAGGCATGCGTACCCTGTGCCCATGTTCCCAAGTGCCTCCTGCATTCAAAGCCATAGGTGATAGCCACAGAGGCCAGAGGCGTATAAGCCTGAGCAACTCACTTACCTTGCAGACAATAATCACCTTTGGGATGTGATCCTTGTAGAACAGAGACAAATGCAGTGAATCCCAGTTTATCTCAGATTCCCCCCTTGATTTGTTTCCCAAATTACAGTGGAAAAAGGACTAAGCAAGAAGACAGAGATAGAAGGGGGTGGGAGCCTGGGGGTGTTATACAGATGTATTCTTTCAGCTTGGAATGTGAAATTTGATCATCAAATTTCCTTGAGTTTCTTAATTTCTACTTGATGTTATCAGTCATTTCTTTTAAAATAACACTTCTTTTGTTTCATTCAGGAAATATGGATTTACCTTAGGACCTGAAAGTCATCAACATTAATTATGTAGTAAGGGTTTTAATATTTTGCTTTGATTTTCAAGTTATGAGTCCTTCTGGAATTGGCTTTTTTGTGTATCAGGTGTTACTGGAGTCATGTTTATCTTTTCCACGTGGCTATTTTTTTGCCAGCTTTGATTAGGAACATTCTGCTCTATTCCTAGATGTGTCTTAATTTTCGTCCAGAATATTACTTATTTGTGGTTTTATCTTTTCCTTGGTCAATCCTGCCAGTGGCTTATCAAGTTTGTTAGGTTTACTTTTTAAAAGAAAGAAAATTTTGGCTTTGTTAGTCTTCTTTGTTATATGTTATGATTTTGTTGAATCATACTTTATGCTTTTTTTTGCTAATTCAATTTTTCTTTTTCTAAATTACCAAGATGGACACTTCATTCACTCATTTTGAGGTTTTCTACTGGTCTATTAAGTATTTCAACCTATAAATTTTAGTCTACACCATTTTTTTCAAATCCCACAGGTTTTGATATGTAGTATTTTCATTGTCACTCAGCTACACATTTTCTCCTTTGCATTATGAAGTCCATGGTTTTGATCTTTCAAACCTCCAAATTGTATTGTCAGCAGTTTATCTCATATTGGGATATTTTAATGACCATGTGTCCTACTAGTCATTTTGTGCCTAATTTTATTCTTGGTTCTTTCTCTTTCCCTAACCATAGATTTGGTTTTTGATTCATTTTTAATTTCAAAATATAGACCTAGAGAAAAGTTGCAAAATAATACAAAGGATTCCCATACGCTTTTATTCAGATTCCCTCAATGTTAATATTTTGCCATGTTTCTTAACATTTCTCTACACTTCTTTTCTTGAATCATTTAAGAGTAAATTACAGGTATAATTTAATCTCACCTTATCACTATTTCATTATCTCTAAGAATTCAGTGTGTTTCTTTAATTACACAGGCCAATTATCAAAGCCAGGATCTGAACACTGATGCAATATTATTATCTCTTATTAATGTTTTCTTATATTTGTTTATGTTGCTATAACTTCCCTTATTGCTTTTAATGACTTATTATATTTAGTTAAAATCCAGTTGAAGACTTCCTGACCAGAAAGATGTTTTCTATATTCTTCCAATTGCAACTAAAACTCCTTGAACATTAAACACAAAACATACAAAGACCCTGAAAGGTGGCGAGAAGAAGGAAGACTGACTAGGGCCTGAGGAATGATAAGGTGATAAATTACTCAGATTTTCCTTTTGTCACATGTATCCTAGACTTGAACTGGAGAAGCCAACAACCCAGAAACTCTGAATGAAAAACTTAACATACAAGTATCACAAAGATATGTAATCAGATGGAAAAAAGATCAATAAAGGCCAATATTAAAATTTAGTGCTAGACTATTTAGAATAGCTAAGCTTTGGAAACAACCCAAATGCCCAAAAATAGATGACATAGATGACTGGATCAAGAAGATGTGGTACATATACACAATGGAATATTGCTCAGCAATCAAAAAGATAAACACATGCAATTTGCAGCAACATGAATAAGGCTGGAAGGGATCATGCTCAGCGAAATAAGCCAGAAAGAAAAAGAAAAATACTGGATGGTCTCACTCATAGCAGGAATCTAGAAAACTTAAATAAGGGACCAGGAAAAAGAATAACTATAAGAAAGAAAATATCAAAATCAACAAACAACTATGAACCAGAGACACTCTATGGAGAAGTGGGGGGTGGGGAAGGAGGGATTGGGGTCAAAATAAGGGGGTTGTAATTGTATGGGGAAAATAAAAATAAAATTAAAAAAAATATTAAGTGCTACAATAACCTGACAAATTTTAAATTCTTGCTGGAAATACTTCAATGAACAATTATTAATACACTTTAAAAAAAGAAAAACAGCATCAGCAAAGAAATAGATGCTACAAAAAAGAACTAAATGTAAATTTTAGAACTGAAAAATACAATAAATAGTTCAAGCAAATATACAGAAGACAGGAAAAATGAGAAACTTCAAGTACAAATGATTTATATAAGACAATTAAAGGAGATTGGGTTTTAAAAATGACCCAACTGTTATCTATAAGGAACTCACTTTAAATAAAGTTATATAGGTCAACTAAAGGTGACAGAAAGAGATTTATAATGCATACATTTATAAAAGGAAAGCAGGAGTAACTATATTAATATTAAATGAAATATATTTCAGAGCAAATAAAATTGCCAGACACAGAGAGGATCTTTATAAAGTGATAGAAGTGTCAGCTCATCAAGAAAACATTGCATTCTAGCATGTATATGCCTCATCTACAGAGATGCCAAATGTGAAGCAAAACCCCATAGAATTAAAGAGATAAAATCCACAATTAAAGTTAAAGACTTCAATATCCCCTTTCTCAACAATTGATAGAGCAAGTAGACAGAAAAAGAACAAAAACATCCAAGAACTCAGTACTACCAAGAACCGAGAAGATCTGATCAGCATTTATAGAACAGCCCCCCAAAACAGCTGCATACAAATCCATCTCAAGTGCCCATGGATTACTTGGGTATCCTAAGTCATTATTCAGAAAAAAACCTTTTGGTTGTGATTTAACTTTTCATAGTTATATCTGTAAGAAGAAATACGCCAATAAAGAAAACGAAAGAAATCTCTATGTTCTTTCTTTTTTTTTTTTTTAAAGATTTATTTATTTTTATACAATAACTGGGGTACAGGCCAGATGTGCATGAGGGTGAGAGGATTCACCAGAGACAGAATGGGGAACAGAACAGGCAGACCAACTGAAATACACTGCTGAGGGGAGCAGCAGGCGAGACAGGAGAGGTCTGCTTTGCCATGTGGGATTCTCGCCAGCCGGACGGGATCGAACTGGTGCTGCAGAGGCTGCGGACAGCTTCACAGTGTGGCGCTCAATCGCCTGTGCCACCAGGGAGGTCCTATGTTATTTCTTATATAAATTATATATAATTAGGAGCAGCCAAGGGGTGGAGCTGAAGAGGAAGAGTGCTCTGACCTGCCCACCACGTCTGCGGGCAAGATCACATGACCAGATCATGTCACATGACCAGATTATATCACATGACCAGAAATGCTTCTGGTGATGATGTGCTTCTCATTTGAGGAAAAGTTTCCTCACTAGTGCTCCAAATTAAGAAAAAGTTCACCCACTAATTTATAATGTCTTAAAACACTAAAGAAGAACTTCCTCTTGGGCATTCCACAATGACTACAAAAACATTGTAAACAAGGGAAGTCCTGCTTATTGGTGTAAATCTGGGGGTCCCATGTATAAAAGCCCTAGAATAAGAGGTTCATCATCACATTCTGGGAAACTCACCTGTGAACAGGAACCCACCATCTACCCCTGCCACCATGAGCTGCTGCTCCCCTTGCTGCCAGCCCAGCTGCTGCAGGACCACCTGCTGCACGACCACCTGCTGCCGGCCCAGCTGCTGCACCCCCTGCTGTGCCCCCTGCTGCACCCCCTGCTGCAAGCCTTGCTGTCCCCCACCTTGCTGCTCCCCCTGCTGCAGGCCCAGCTGCTGTGCCCCCTGCTGCTCCCCCTGCTGCAAGCCTTGCTGTCCCCCACCTTGCTGCTGCACCCCCTGCTGTAAGCCTTGCTGCCCCCCACCTTGCTGCACCCCCTGCTGCAAGCCTTGCTGCCCCCCACCTTGCTGCACCCCCTGCTGCAAGCCTTGCTGCCCCCCACCTTGCTGCTCCCCCTGCTGTAAGCCTTGCTGTCCCCCACCTTGCTGCTCCCCCTGCTGCTCCCCCTGCTGCCGCCCCAGCTGCTGCTCCCCCTGTGGCCAGCCTGCCTGCTGTACTCCTGTGTACTGCCACAGAACTTGCTACCAACCCACCTGCTGCCGTCTGGTTGGGTGCCTCCCAGAGAGCCTGGGGTGCCCCTGTGGTCAGCCTTGCGGCTGCTGATCACCTCACCCAACAGCCACTCTCTGTACATGACTCCTGTTAACTGATTTGTTGTTTGGGGGCATTATTGCTTCCAAACTGTGATGGCAGCCAACATGCTTTCCCCATGACGCTGCCTCTCACCCTGTGTAAAAGCTGTGAAGGGGCAGAGAGCCTGAGGGGCAGGGAGGACCCCCCTGATCTCTCCCCTCTGTCTTGTGCATCACGTGCTGCTTCATGATCCCCGACGTGGGAGCTGGCCTTGGTGAGACTCTGAGGTCAGGATCACCCACTCCCCCTCAGTGACCAGGAAAGCAGACCTCACAGCTTTTTCATAGGCTTTGCAGCTGATCAATAATTGTCACAATTCTATTTTCTTTATCAACGTGCTCATGGTTCAACCTGCTTTCTTCCTTTCATCATCACCTTGAGTTGTTTCATAGGTGAGAGGCAGGGAGTCTCACCTGAGAGGCAATATATGCTTCTTAATAAATTCTATACCAGTTTCATCTCACATTGTTTGGTTTTATTGTGGGTATGCCAATCTGGTAACATATACACATGGGATACCACATTCCTGATCCAACCTGAGTTGCCAAAGAGCCCACCAGGAATTAATTTCCACATTTTTAAAAAGATTTATTTATTTATGATTATAAGAACTGGGGTACAGTCCAGAGGTGAGGGAGGTGAGAGGATTCACCAGAGACAGAGTGGGGAACAGAACAGGCAGACTGACTGAAATGCACTGCTGAGGGGAGCAGCGGGCGAGACAGGATTGGTCTGCTGCACCATGTGGGTAGCTCCCTGCCCCGGCATTGAACTCACACTGCAGAGGCTGTGGACAGCTTCATAGCGCTGCACTCAACCCCTTGCATCACCAGGGAGGCCCTATTTTCCACATTTTTTAAAAAGAAAATTTCATGTGTAATGACCTGGAAATAATAATGGGCAGATCTAGGTCCAGGGCTGGAGTTTTTGCCTCTGCTCAAGGCTTTCCACGTGAAAGCCAGTAGGGATGAGACTGAGTACTGAGCGCTGCAGGTGGCCCACTACCACAGCAGAGGGAATAACCCCTCGTGCATCATGCCTAGTGAGCACCAACTACCTGCCAGGGCAGCAGGGGCTGCCTTTAGAGCCCTAGTGAATGCGGGAGCCATCCCGGCTCAGGCGCTGCTCATCCACCCCTGCAGTTTATCGCACTGATACATTCCAGCCTCCACTCAGTCCTCACAGGTCTCGCCTGTGGGAACCTGCCTCTCAGGATCCTGCATACAAAAACCTAAATTGCCTCTTTCTCCTGAGTGTCTATGGACACGTGGGGATTTAGTGATCCCTGCCAAAATATGGACTATATATTGTACTCCCCCAAATTTATGGCAACTTGTCCCCCTGATGAAAGTGATTTCATAAGAATAAATTGAGATGAAAGCTGGGGATTGAGAAACGCAAGAGGCTGGTGTGGCTCTGGGCAACCCGTGGCCTCTGAGTCATCTCAGGAGCAAAGCAGCTTCCTATGCTGCCTGAGGTAAAGATGAAACACCTGAGGGAAATTAGAACCCCTGAATCTACGGAGATCACAAGGAAGCAAGAGAGGAAAGTGGAAAACCCCGTGCTTTCTCAGGACTCGTGTTGGGGGGATTTTAATGGGGATTTTAATGAACAGGCTGCGGTTACAGCTGCTGCAACAAAGTGCAACCTACATTCCTACCCCATCCTTTGCCAACGACCTACATCCCTTTACCGTCGCCCAGGAACTCACAGCAGTCAGACAGCCGGCTGCTGAGGCAAGGGTCTGATGACTGTGTCCGGTCAGCCTGTGGTTGCTGCCCCTGCTCCTTAGAGGCCAGCACAGGTGTGGACACAACACGTGATCTTCGGTGAATCCCGTGAGTTCCAGAGGGAGCTGCCCCCACCTCTCTGTGATTTTATCCCTCCCTGAGGAGTAACTGCTTTCCCCGATGGTCCACAGACACCAGTCCACATGAAAGGGTGACAACTAGAGAAAGCCTCGCCAAGGAGTACGGAGAAGTCTAGTTAGTGTGATGGAAAGAATGCACAGAAAAGACAGAAAGCTGCCGACTTCCTGGTGAGATATCACAGGCCGTCTCCTGAGGCCTGAGGGCCACTGCGCCCATGGAAACTCAAAGCCCATAAGATAAAAGGCCGCTGAAATGAAATGACCGTCATCTGTCCATGATGTGCCCGTGCCTGTGAAATCTGCAATAAAAATGTCTTCACGAACTATTCAGATATAAGGGAACTTGGTTAGAAGGTCATACATCACGGATTGCTTTCTCTAGAAGTGTTAATAGATTAAAATTAAGTAACATACAATAGCATACAAAATAAAAGACAACAATATATTTAAAGAAAGATGGTCAAGACATCCAGAGAAGAGAGACTAAAACTTCAACCAAGCAATTCTGCTCCCAGGCACATGTCCACGGAAATGAGTCCCAGGTAAACAAACAACCCGGACAAAAACGTTCTCAGCAGCCCTGTGTGCAAAGCCCCAAACTGCGGAAAACCTGCTTTTTATTAAAGGAAAACCAGCAAATAGATTGCACGATATTCAGTCAGGGACGGATTATAGAGCAACAACGATGAATTATCCTCAAATAAGGACATTCATGAATCTCACATCGGAGCAAGGAGAAGCCAGCTCCACTCTTTTCAGAAATGTAAAGTTCAAGCAAACCCCACACTGCCCCTCGGGCTGTACGTCAGGCGTGGTTAGCTGTCCTTGGGGACCAGGTGGAGTTTGGGGAACTGGGGCTGATGTCTGTGTCACAAGCTGTAGCAGCGACTCGGGTGTGTTCACTGTGGGTGACCCAGGATGGACATTGATAGTGGCGTGTTCTAACACGTGACACCCCAAAGATGAGGTAAAGCCAACAGCACCTCAACTACTCCAAGTCCTCCACTAAAAGGAGAGAGAAAAGGGGTGGCCCGGAGAGGGCGGGGGAGAGGGCATGACAGGAGGTCCCCATGCTCAGCTACTGTGGGGAGACCAGGCAGCTCTGGGGTCACCAGCTCGTCCAGCTTTGTCAGAGTTGCCCAGTTCCAGCACTGAGCACCCCACGCAGGCACAGCCCTCTGCCTGGACAAACCAGGACAACAGGACGCCTGGGCCTGGACTGGTGGCATTTCTGAGCCCCCCGGGCACTGCCTCCGCTTCCACCCGCCGAGGTGGCTCTGTCGGCACATGGGAGAGACTGGATCAACCACCTCTCCCGGGCATCCTTGGGGATCTGGGACACGAGAGGGGAGGCAGCTACAGAGACAGAGGCCTGTGCCCCTTCCCTAGGCCTTGGTGCTCACACACCTGGACTCCCCTGCATTCAGCTCCTCACCCTGGACACAGCGTCACGCCCCTCCCCAGGGACACCCCCTCTCCACACCAGGCAGGAACAAGCTGCAGAGGAACACCCACTCTGGCCACCCCAGGCCAGCAGGAGCCAAGTCACATGACCACCATGATCAAAGAGGACAGAGCAGTGATGGCACCTGCTTCCTCTGTGACTCCTCTCAATTAGCTCACATCAGACACCAATTTCCTAGAGATTCAAGCATTTGGGGAATAACTTCCTCCTCACAATTGCCTGAGAAATTCCATTGTTTATAAACAACAACAAGGGCAGCCCTGCTTATTGGTGTAAATCTGAGGGTCCCCGTGTATAAAAGGCCCAGGACAGGAGGGTCCTCATCAGATTCTGGGAAACTCACTTGTGAACAGGCACCCACCGTCCACCCCTGCCACCATGAGCTGCTGCTCCCCTTGCTGCCAGCCCAGCTGCTGCAGGACCACCTGCTGCCGGCCCAGCTGCTGCACCCCCTGCTGTGCCCCCTGCTGCCAGCCCAGCTGCTGTGCCCCCTGCTGTCCCCCCTGCTGCTCCCCCTGCTGCCGCCCCAGCTGCTGCTCCCCCTGTGGCCAGCCCGCCTCCTGTACCCCCGTGTACTGCCACAGAACCTGGTACCTGCCCACCTGCTGCTGCCTGCCTGGGTGCCTCCCAGAGAGCTTGGGGTGCCCCTGTGGCCAGCCTTGCGGCTGCTGATCACCTGGCCAATGAACTGCGTGTGCAACAGAATAGCCGCCTTATCCCCTCCTCATCACTGCTAGGATGAACTTACTCTCTATGTCGCTGAAAGGCAGCCTGCTATCACCACCTCTTTTTTCCTCATTATTCACCTGCCTTTTAACAATTTATGAACCAGCTTGACAGCAGGAAGACCCACCTCTGTGCATTCTGGACATGAGTTTAAAATCTGTTTTGATTCTGAAGTTAGGATTTTTACTGTTCCCTCTACGTAACTGAGTAAACAAATCCTCATACCTGTCTCTTGCATTTCTGCTACAGAGCAACCATCTCCATCATCATGCTTGCTTTTCCATGTGCTCTTGGTTCTCATACACTGCTGTCTGCTTTTTATGACCGCTCTGTTTTCTTCTTGGCTGCCTGGACTTTTATCTGTATTTAAAAATAAACCCTGTGTCAGCATTTACTCTGCGTTGCTTTGTTTTATTGTTCAGCATTCCCCGATGTAGGGTCCGAGCTACTCATGCTACACATTCATTCTCCATCTGGGTCTCGAGACAGCATCGGTAATTTACACCCTCCACGTTTCAGATGAGAACAGTTCACTCTGTATCGTCATGTGCAAAATGGGCAGACTCAGATGGAGACTGGTCTTCAGTTCCCAGTCCAGGGCACTGAAAGAATCATCACATGTCACACCCTAGTGACTTGTTTCAGTAAGGGGAGCAGAAGCCACACTTAGGAGCTCTTGGGAATGCAGGGCAACTCTCTTTGCCTCAAACTCTGCTCAGCCCCTTATTTGATGCAGTTTATTTCCAGCAAATACTTCCGAAGACCCTTTGTCCTCAGAAGAGAGGGCCCTTTCCGGGGCTTGTCCTTTGGTAAAATGTATATCAAGTTCTCAAAGGACCTTTTTCTGCCGGGACCTTTTTCTGCCGGGTACAGACAAGAAGGAATAAAGCCATTCCCTATTACGGGAATACATAGACCCTCTTTTGTGCTACCCAACTTTAAGCCAACTTTCTTTAGTGCAGAGTGGTTAGTTTTCCTGAAGGTGCTACATTTCTGTAGCAGTGTGATGGCAATACTTTCTATTGAGGTTGGCGCCTAAGGATTTTTCATTTCTATGAAAGTTGTTAAGCTGGCTTAACAACTATGTTCGTCATTTCTACCCCCACCTCCAGTTTCTTGTCTCATGATGCCTTCATCCCCAATTTTTTTACTTCAAGTCTCCATCACTTCCCTCACACTCCTCCACCCTTTATAAGATCTGCGGATGTCCCCCCCATTCAGAGATCCCAGGTGTTTTGGGGTACTGATCCTGCCAACTCCTTTTATGGCTATCTCGAATAAAACTCCTTCAATGTAAAGATAATTCTTAGTCTGACTTTGTGAACTTGTGCTGAAGACCCGGTCTGCTCGTTTACAGCCTCAGCCCAATCAACCAGATTTTCGCTGCTTGCCGTGGACAGCAGTCCTCAGCCCACTTTTCAGTCCACACAAAATTCATGGCTGCACAGACCACTTATGGCTCTCTGGCGCCTTTATGCAGTGACTGGACTGTGATACATTTGAGAATTGGTATAAACATTCATCCGGTTCGCTTCTGCCAAGGGATTGAAGAGCCAGTGATATTACACACAGTAGAAGTTTATAATCTTACTTCTAGGTAACTTAGGGTATTAGCAGACAGGATGAGGGGCAGCCCAAGGCCCCCAAGCTTGCCTGGTCTAAATGGGCTCAGTCATCTGCCTCATAAAGACAAACATACTTTTAGTGCATAAGACCTTCTGGTGGGGACCTTAGGAAAGGGGCAGAAGGGGCCGGGCAAGTCTGGAAGGAAAAAAAGCAAAGTACAGTCAAGATAAAGGCTGCCATTGTCAGCCTCCCCAATGGTCTCTTGCCTTCCATGTCCCCCAAACCCCAGGTACATATGCGAGGCTACACAACTCTGGCTCCACAAGCCTCCTCCAGTTCTCCCAGTGTTCCTCTTTGCTCTCCCCAGTCCCTTCTATTGGTCCTTTCAGCTTCCCCTGCTGTTCAGCTCCAGCCTTCCCTAGGTGGAGCAGACACCCTGGACCTCCCCTTTCTGTGCAGATCACAGGGTTTCAAAGATTAAATGCATAGCTGAGGGGAGCAGGTCTGTCTCCAACAATGTTTCATCCATTTTTGAACAGATAAGTATAAAGTATTTCACAAAGCTCAGCAATTTGGTTACAACATTCTCCTTGGATTCTCGGTAGTGGGGAGAAATATTGGGGTGAAGTTGGAGGCACCGGGGTGAAAGAATTCACCCAAGACAGGGTGGAGAACAAAAAGGCAGATTTGTTGAAATACCCTGTAAGAGAGCAGGGGGCAAGATGAGAGAGGTCTGCATTCAAAGTAGGATTTGAGGCTCCCTTTTATTAACTGTTTTTGCAGCTTTTTTCACTTGGGGTTCTAGTTTGGGTCAGTTATTTGTTAGGATGTCTGGTCTTGGGCATTGACCTTTGACACAGAGACTTGACCTGGCCCTGCTTCTGCATTTCTGGTCAAGGTGATTGGGTCTTTGGTCTGGTTCCCATAGCAACCTTATCATTGCCTTTTATCTATTCATGTCTCCAAACCCGCCTGCTGGGCAAGGAGTGGGGGCTTAGTTTGTAACATCACTAATGATGCCAGGACAGTATGAGAAGTGATGAATTACCTGGATAAACCTCATAATCATAATGTAAAGAGAAATTAGCCAATTCTATATCATTTAATTCTACATTATTTAATTTATAGAAACTTTAAAAGCATCCAAAACCAACTATCAAACACAGTTAAAAGTCAACAGAAAGGGCCTCCCCAGTGGTGCAGCGGTTGAGCGCTGGGTTGCGAAGCTGCCCGCAGACTCTGAAGCGCCAGTTCAATCCCCGGCTGCTCCCCGGCCACTGGAGGAGGGTCCCACATGGCGCGCAGACCTCTCCTGCCGCCCGCTGCTCCCCTCAGCAGTGTACTTCGGTCCTTCTGCCTGCTCTGCTCTCTGCTCTGGCTCTGGTGAATTCTTTCACCCTCGTGCACTTCTGACTGCACCCAGTGCTTGTACAAATAAATAAAATAAATCTTTAAAAAAAAAAAGTCAACAGAAAGATTACTTTTGGGAATGAGTGAGAAGATTTGAAGGGCATGAATATAAGTTCTATGTAACCTGATAAGAGTGACTTGTGTTGGTGACAGATTGCACTAGTGATGGATCAGAACCCAGGGAAGGTAGAGGAGCTCCCTTCACTGACAGACACGCTAAGGCAGTCTCTATATAAGACATGGGAAGAATATTTGGGAAGAATTTTGCAGACAAAAAAGGGTTCTGTATGGGGGGCGCGCTGTGTGGGGATTGGCTCTCCTTGTGTCAATTACTAGTTGTATGGAAAATTGTTTTCTCATCACTGAAATATGATGACTGTATGATAATCTTTGATCTGCCCAACCTGTAAGGTCATTGTGAGTCTTGAATGAGAAAAAATATAAAATGCAACTCAAAAGAAAGACTTCATAAGGAAAGAACTGTAAATAAACAAACCAAAAAGATACTAGAGGATGCAGGGCAATTTAGATTTTATTAGGAAAGAACAGGTAGGGAGACCATTCGAATTGGTTAAGAAAGAGTTTAGTGACCTAACAGAAGTTACTAAATATAAGGCATCGATCTAAAAAGACAATCAATAGTGATCCTTTCAGGGAATTAAATATATAGTCATGAGAATTTCAGTGTCATACAAAAGAAAAGGTGCTGATTGCAATCTTGAAGCTGGGACCATGAATCCATGTTCCCTGTGTGTGGGTGACCAGCATTGTTTCACTGGCTGATGGAAATGAAGAATACTGTCAGTGGACTGCATCTCCTTGGTGCACTCATAAACAATGCACAAAGAAGATGATCACAAAGTTCTGAGTTAGCATGTTTTTTCTCAGCAGAGTTTTAAGGAAGAAGTTTCCTGAAGGAATGGGAATGTCGGCAAAATGGTCAAAGAAATATGTATCCAGTAGGTGGTGGGTCTGCAGCAAGTGGATCAACAGCAGCTAGGCCGGCAGCAGGGGGTACAGCAGCAAGGTGGGGGGCAGCAAGGCTTGCAGCAGGGGGTACAGCAGCAAGGTGGGGGGCAGCATGGCTTGCAGCAGGGGGTGCAGCAGCAGGGTGGGGGGCAGCATGGCTTGCAGCAGGGGGTGCAGCAGCAAGGTGGGGGACAGCAAGGCTTGCAGCAGGGGGTGCAGCAGCAAGGTGGGGGGCAGCAAGGCTTGCAGCAGGGGTGCAGCAGCAAGGTGGGGGGCAGCAAGGCTTACAGCAGGGGGTACAACAGCAAGGTGGGGGGCAGCAAGGCTTGCAGCAGGGGGTGCAGCAGCAAGGTGGGGGGCAGCAAGGCTTACAGCAGGGGTGCAGCAGCAAGGTGGGGGCAGCAAGGCTTACAGCAGGGGTACAACAGCAAGGTGGGGGGCAGCAAGGCTTGCAGCAGGGGGTGCAGCAGCAAGGTGGGGGGCAGCAAGGCTTACAGCAGGGGGTACAGCAGCAAGGTGGGGGGCAGCAAGGCTTGCAGCAGGGGGTACAGCAGCAAGGTGGGGGGCAGCAAGGCTTACAACATGGGGTGCAGCAGCAAGGTGGGGGACAGCATGGCTTGCAGCAAGGGGTGCAGCAAGGTGGGGGGCAGCAAGGCTTGCAGCAGGGGGTGCAACAGCAGCTGGGGCGGCAGCAAGGCTGGCAGCAGCTGGTCACACAGGTTGGCTTGCAGCAAGTGGTTGTGCAGCAGGTGGTCCTGCAGCAGGTGGGCTGGCAGCAAGGGGAGCAGCAGGTGTGGGTCATGGTGTCAGAGGTGGCGGATGGGTTTCTGAGTAGAGACAAATTTCCCAGAATCTGAAATCAAGTTCTCTACCAGATCTTTTATACAGAGGTCTCCAAATTTTGGACCAATGAACAGAATTTTCCTGGTTATTATTTAGGACTTTTTTTTTTATCACTCAAATAGAATTACCCAAGAAGGAAGTGTTCCATAAGTATTAAAAATTTCCTGAAAATAAAAGATAGGATTATTCATTTAATTAAGAGATAACCCGTAAGACGTTCAGAACTGGAAATGACAATCAACATCAATAGCTTCATTAACCATGAATCATCTTTTTAAAGAATGAGTATGTCCTAGGGTCACCTGCAAGTTCAAACTAATTTGGAGAAGAGGTCAGAGTCTGTAATCACCTACTTGTTTCTCCTTCAGTGCTCATTATATCGGGCTAGACCTCTGGAGATGGAATCTGTGTTGGTGGAGCCCAGGTGATGAATCCAAATCATATTTTAACACGTTTTTTATTAAAACTGTGTTTTAGCAAGTTTTCATCTGTATCACATAAAATTCAATGATAGATAATTATATTAGCACCTAAGAGATCCGCTAGGGTACTCATTTCCTGCAACTGGGGACAGAGATTGACTATAATTGACATAATCTTTTCCATACTGAGCTCCAAATATGTTGGCAGATCTGATAACAAACTTGCTTTAGGGATGCTGTATCTGCCCTTCTTCCTGAATAATTCAGTCTAGAAGAAAAGAAGGTATCTGAACAGGATAGGAATGATTTGCATTGCCTTAAAACTGACTATTCATTTAAAAAAATTAGGGACTCCCTGGAGGCCCAGGCAGTTGAGCGTCGCACTGTGAAGCTGTCCACAACCCCTGCAGTGCCAGTTTGATCCCGGCCGGCTAGCGAGAATCCCACATGGTGAAGCTGACCTCTCCTGTCTCGCCTGCTGCTCCCCTCAGCAGTGTATTTCGTCAGTCTGCCTGTTCTGTTCCCTGCTCTCTCTCTGGTGAATCCTCTCACTCTCCCGCACATCTGGCTTGTACCCCCGTTCTTGTATAAAATAAATAAATAAATCTTTTTAAAAAAGGTATACACATTTAAAATTTTCATATATACTGTTAAATTACTCTATAAAAATGTTGCCCTAATTTAGACCCTTGCCATATGTGTCTAGAAAGTCTGTTTCCTTATAAACTCATCAATTTATTAAAGTTTTCAATTAAATATTTTGTATTTACCATCTCAAATTACTCATGGTTGTATGTCCAGTGTCTTGGGCAGGACCTGGCATGCCAGGTGTTCAATAGATGGTTTGATGAAAGGACAATAGATGGTGTTCAATAGATAGTTTGATGAAAGGATAAGTGTTCAATAGATGGTTCAATAGATGGTTTCAATAGATGGCTTGATGGTGTTCAATAGATGGTTACAATAGGTGTTCAATAGATGGTTTGATGAAAGGATAAGTTATGCAATTAAAAAATTTAAATTGTAAGTGAGGAGAACATCTTTCAAAAGTTTAAATATCTGTCCTTTTCAGTGAAATGACTGTTCTTTTTAGTGAAAATAAATTTGGTGACTTTTTCCCATTGGGCTACACGATTTATCTGTGCATAAGCAAAATTAGCTCCTTTTCTCTTACATTGGGTAAGGTATTTGTTACTTATGCCCAGTTTTCACTTTAGCTATTTGGCTTTAATTTTTTAAACAATCAGGCATTTAAATTTTTATGGTCCTCCCCCTATAGCCAATAAGTATTTTCTTTAAAAACCTACCCCACTTCAAATGTTTTAAGGAAAAAAATCCCTTTCTTCTAGTACTTTTAGTTTATTTTTCTCAAGTCTTAAAAAAACAAGGCACACTGTCCCACTTGAGTACATCCAAAACCTCATGGATGACTCAGAGAATGTTGAGCTCAATGAGGCATCACATGACACCAATCTGAAGAGGAAGATGAAGAGTCTTTGAAGTTAGATGATACACATAGGAAAGAAGACAAGAGGTGACTCAGGAAAAAAAGGGACTGAATTAGATGAACCCTAACACAGGAAAAGGAAAAACATGCATTCTGTCCAAACTTCAATAGATTCTCTCACAATTAACTTGATAATTGCCTAATTATGAAGAGAAACAATAACAGGGAAACAGCCATTACATGGTGACAGTAGCACCTCATTTGGGTATAAAAGAGGACATGGGATACAGAGACTCCCACATTTGGGAACCTCACTCTCCTGTAAACTCTCCCAGAACCTCCACCCTCTGACACCATGATGAACTCCTGTTATGACTCTGTCTGCTCTGACCAGGGTTGTGGCCAAGACTTCTACGAAGCAGCTAGCTGTGGCCCAATCTGCTGCCAAACTACTTGTCGGTCCGGCTGCTGCCGTCCTGTCTGCTGTCAGACCACCTGCCGTCCCAGCTGTGGCGTGCCCAGCTGTGGTGGGTCCAGCTGTGGTGGGTCCGGCTGCTTCCGCCCAGTCTCCTGTCAGACCATTTGCCGTCCCAGCTGTGGTGGATCCAGCTGTGGTGTGTCTAGCTGTGGTGGGTCCAGCTGTGTCCGCCCAGTCTCCTGTCAGATCACCTGCCGTCCCAGCTGTGGTGGGTCCAGCTGTGGTGGGTCCAGCTGCTTCCGCCCTGTCTCCTGTCAGACCACCTGCCGCCCTAGCTGTGGTGGGTCCAGTTGTGGTGTGCCCAGCTGTGGTGGGTCCAGCTGTGTCCGCCCAGTCTCCTGTCAGATCACCTGCCGTCCCAGCTGTGGTGTGCCCAGCTGTGGTGGGTCCAGCTGTGGTGGATCCAGCTGCTTCCGCCCTGTCTCCTGTCAGACCACCTGCCGCCCTAGCTGTGGTGGGTCCAGTTGTGGTGTGTCCACCTGTGGCTGCCCTGTCCTGCAGACTACCTGCTTTGGTACATCTTGCTCTCGTCCCAGCTGTTAAACCTCATATCTGACGAACAACCATGAACCAGCTACCATCACATCATGTGGAGATGCCATTCATTCGATCTTTTCCATGTTTTAAATGACCACCAACTTTATTATGCTGCAACACCCCTGAGGCCATGATGAAAGGACACCCTCCTACATTAAATAGTCCTTATGTCCTGGATCTTCTCCCTGAATTCAGGCTTCAGAGACATAATGAAGTTGGATGAGTCCCCAAGTCCCCAACTATTATGCTTGTCTCGACCTTCACAACCACACGTGAATTATCTCTCAATAAATACATCTTGATATCAGAAAATTTTGCAGTCTTCAATTATTTTTGAGTGTTTATTATTATTTTCCATCATTATTTCTCTCAAAGGGATTCTTAGATTTCTACGGTTAGGAAGGAAAACTGACTTTTCAAATATCACTTAACGCCTGTATTGAAGAAAGGATCCTACCTATATATATATAAAAAATAAACTCACTTACCAAGAATTTTATTTTTTTGTAACTTTTAAAAAAATTGAGGTCACAGGGCCTCCCCTGGTGGCGCAATGGTTGAGTGCTGGGTTGCAAAGCTGCCCGCAGCCTCTGCAGAGCCAGTTCGATCCCCGGCCACCGGCGAGGATCCCACATGGTGTGAAGACCTCTCCTGCTGCCCGCTGCTCCCCTCAGCAGTGTATTTTGTCAGTCTGCCTGTTCTTTTTTTTTTTTTTTTAAATATTTATTTATTTATTTATACAAGCACTGGGTACAGTCAGAAGCGTGGGAAGGTGAGAGAATTCACCAGAGTCAGAGCAGAGAGCAGAGCAGGCAGACTGACGAAGTACACCGCTGAGGGGAGCAGCGGGCCTCAGGAGAGGTCTGCACGCCATGTGGGACCCTCACCCGGTGGCTGGGGATCGAACCAGCGTTGCAGAGGCTGCGGGCATCTTTGCAACCCAGCGTTCAACTGCTGTGCCACTGGGGAGGCCCAGGTCTGCCTGTTCTGTTCCTGGTTCTGGTGAATTCTCTCACCCTCCCGTGCTTCTGACTGTACCCAGTGCTTGTATAAATAAATAAATAAATCTTAAAAAAAATTGAGGTCACATTGATTTATATCATCATGTACAATTTAGGGGTATAGGTTTACACCTTTTTAAATGCTTCCTATTCAGTCCATGAAATAATCAGACAGCTGGCATGTTTATTGAACTGTTGGGCTGGGGGAACTTTTCAAGACATGCAAGGCATAGTTGCGCCCTACAAGGAGTGCACCATCCAATTTTAGAGTTAAATGAATGGTCTAAGTTGGATAGAGTATACTGGGTAGTATTGATCAGAAAGGGAAATACTTGTCCTGGAGAAGAGAAATAGAGAAGGAATACTTTTTATAACTAGAATAAGTTCAGTAAATTTAGGGAAAATGTGGGGGTCACAAACCTATGAAACAAAGAGGAAGAGGGGCACAACAGGGAAGTGTTTAAGTTTTGTGATGACAAGAGTGATGAGTCAAAAAATTTGTTGCCTTTGAAAAAATATGCTAGAGACAGTTCTCTTGGCCTCTCCCTGACCTCCTTCATGTTAATGATGCTGTACTGAAAGGGTCATAAGCAAATGAGGAGGCCATTAGTCAGAGCATGTGGTGGAGCATGTGGGCATAAGTAAGCACCCACTCTGGGGAAGGTCTAGGGAGGACCTGGGGAAGCGTAGACAAGGATGGGTCATTAGGGGGAGCACTTAGGTCACACTTGACAGCTGGATGCACCTGCAATCTTGAGATATCCTGAGATATTGCGGATCTCATGTGCTTCAAGCAGATTTGTTTGCATCAGACAAGCCAACCATGGTTTCCTGCAGCCACATCACTTCACTTGTCCTGTCTGATGTCACTTGTAATGAAAAGATATTTGAGTAGGAGCAAAATAAACAAGGTAACTGAACTGTACAATTACTAAGAGTGGCACCAGCAGAACATCACAGATACACCAAGATGAGGAAATCATATCCTCTGTAGCAATGATAATAATTGTGAGGATCCTTAGACATGAGGGGAGTGTAATCAGCAGTGGTGGGCGAAGTCCTAAGCCATGGTATCTACCCCGACTCCATTCAGTTCAAGTTTCAGTTTTTACCTAACATTCCACCAGGACAAGTGAGTTTAGGGTTCATGGTCATAACCAGCGCAGTCCGATATGAGGACAGCTATCTCATTGCTACTCTGTTCCTTTACAACCACATTTTTCCTGTTGGAAGTACAAATCAATCTCAATTTTCCATGGGGGGGGGGTTTCATTTCACAACCAAATAATATCCAAAAGTTAAGGATATTAACTTCGTTCTAAACATACTTCAGTTTAAAAAAAACAAACAGTCAAATTTAAACATCCCTTTCAGATATCAATTGAGCAATCTGGCATTATTAGCATCGTAAATAATGTTGCATCCTTAAACACAGTCCTTTATGATTAGTAATTTATCTTAAGGCAATAATTGTTCTTTTTGAGGCTGAAGCTAGTCAAAACACGCTAGTACAAGCACACACATTTGTTTCAAATAATAAGGACAGAAACCTTTAAGGCAACTTCAGTACATCTGCAAGTTTGTTCCTTTATCTCTAACAGTTTTAGAGCATATAAAAAGAGCTCCAAAATTTTTGCTTCATTTTTATTTTAATTCTATTATACCTTATGTCAATTGCATCAATCAAGAGACAAAACACCTCTAGCACCACACCAACCATCTCTGTTGTCCTTTATGGATACTTCTTCTCCCTCCACTCCCATCACCTTCACCTCTGGCAAATTGCTGATCTGTTTCCCAGGTCTATAAATCTGTCATTACAAGATTTTTAATAAGTGGAACCATGCACCTTTGGGGGACTGCTGTTTTTCACTCAACATAATTTACGTTTGAGTCATCCAGGTTGTAAGTACATCAGTAGTTTCCTCTCTTTTACTGCTGAGAGATAGTTCATAGTATGACTGTGTCATTGTTTAACCCTTCTGGATTGTTCTTTAAAAAAAAACAAACAAATAGGATAGCTAGCTAGGCTCATAAAAGAAAGAAGAGAGAAAACTCAAATAAGATAAAAAACGAAAGAGGAAAAGTTATAAGTGACATCTCAGAAATTCAGAGGGTTAGAAGAACAGATGTATGTTAGTCACTTCAATTATCCAGAAAGATGGACAAATTCTTCGAAACCTACAATCATCCAGGACTGAAAAGGGCAGAAATAAAACACTTGAACAGACAAATTACAAACAAGGAAACTGAAACAGTAATCAAAATTCTTCCAAAAATTAAAAATCCAGGAACAGACAGCTTCACCATTGAGGTCTACCAAAGCTTCAAAGACGAGCTAATACCCACTCTGCTCAAACTCTTTCAAAAAGTTGAGAAAGTGATTTATGTTTTATGAGAAAGTGAAACATTCTGTAAAGCCAACATTACCCTAATACCAAAACCAAAAACAATACACACGAAAAGGAAAATGACAGGCCAGTTTCCCTAATGAACATAGATGCAAAAATCCTCAACAAATCTTAGCAAACCAAATTCAACAATGCACTAAAAGGATTGTGTAATGTGATGTTATCCAGTCAGCATCTGCACGGGGCAGCTCTTGTGAGGTACTAGCTTTGGAGCTTGGGAAAAGTGCTGGTAAAATAATGAGAAACACATCAGGAGCATGCTCCCAGATTGGTGGAAGATAGAACCTAAGGGAAGGGTGTTTGGGGGAAGATACCAGGAGGGGTTTGCTGGAGGAGGCAATGACCCCTCCACCTTAGAAAACAAGTAGTAGGTTCATGACAGTGTTTGGGACAGAGAGGGGCACTCTTTCTTTTTTTTAAAGATTTATTTAATTTTATACAAGAACCGGGGTACAGGTCAGATGCGCAGGAAGGTGAGAAGATTCACCAGAGACAGAGTGGGGAGCAGAACTGACAGACTGACTGATACACACTGCTGAGGGAAGCAGCAGGCATGACAGGAGAGGTCTGCTCGCCATGTGGGTTGCTCGAGGTCGGCGGGGATTGAACTGGCACTGCAGAGGTTGCAGACAGCTTCACAGCGCTGCGCTCAACCACCTGTGCCACCAGGGAGGCCAGAGAGGGGCACTTTTAAACTTTGCAGAATAGATGGATAAGTGACAATCTAGGGCACTCAGGATTCCGTTTGATAAATTCTAACAGATGTAACAAACACCTTTTAAGATTTCTTTCAAGATTTCTGACCAGCATAAAACTTGGTTGTAACATGAGCCTTATGAGTCACTTTTAGAGCCCAAACCAATCTCTAATGAGCCTGTCCACACTGTCCACACTGTGCACATTGAAGACTATGGGATCATTGACTCACTTTTGCTCTTAGGAAAGTGATTCCATTCTCAGGGCATTATCATTCCTGGGAGGGTTATGCATTGGGGCAATCACCCATTACCTGGCTGATGTATTACCTGAACCACCAGAACAGGATTAGGACAATGCCCTGAATGTCTCCTACACCTTTTAAATCTCTTGCTATGATATTCACACAATAAAATCTTATTATCTTGGACACATCCCATTTGGGACATGTATAGACTAATTTTCCCTGGCCTATACCCACATGAAATTTGGCATCTTTCATGAAATGAATGTTTGTGAGGCAAATTGAGAAGGTAAATATAATTACAGGAGATATATTTAACTCAGTGTGGACCTACTTAGCACTAATTACAAGTGAATCATATTCTGAACCGACACCTTGAACCTACCACTTAGAGGCATTTTTTAGCAATGATTCTTAATGATGCTTTAAGTGTGCTAGAAAACAGCTAAAGGGCATTTTTTTTAATCATTTATTTCTTATTTTTTCTCACCATCCCTTATATAGCCCCTTCCTCCTCCCTCTCCCCCACTTAGGACCCTCACTTCGTCTATTAAAGTCCACTAGTTTTTATTTTATTTAATCATCATTTACAGTTATGTAAATGTGTACCGTTTGTCTCTGTCACTCTAATTTACTTTACTACTCATAATTCCCTCAAATGCCTTCCATTTTGATGTAAATGACAAAGACAAATGAATAGTGTTCCCTAAACATGGATATACCACATCTTCTAGATCCACTGTTGATGATGGGTATTTAGGTTGCTTCTATGTCTTACTTATAATAAATCATGCTTCAGTAGAGTATATAGGTTTTTGAGTTGATGGTTCCATATTCTTTGGATAGATACCCAAGAGTGGGATTGCTGAGTCATACTGTGTTTCCATTTTTCGTTTTTTAAGGTAAACCCAGATCATTTTCCATAATTGCTGCATCCATTTACATTCCCACTGACCATGTAACAGGGATCCTCTTTCTCCACATCCTCTCCAGCACTGTCATTGGGGGTCATTTTAGTATGTGCAATTTTCATAGTTATGAGATGATATCTTGTGGTTTTAACCTACATCTCTTTTATTGTTAGCAACAATGAACATTTTTCTATGATTCTTTTGGTCTTCTGGATATCCTTTTTAGTACATTGTCTGTGCAGATCTGCTGCCCATTTATTACCCATTTATTCACCTATTGTTGAATTGCATACTTTTTTAAGTACTTCTTAGATACTAATCCCTTTTCAGTTGTGTAATATGTGAATATTTCCTCCCTTTCAGTAGGTTGTCTTTTTAATCTGCTTATATTTTTCTTTCACTATGTAATAGCTATTAATTTGAGGTAATCCCAATTGTTTATTTTTGCTTTTATTTCCCTTGCCGTAGACATCCAGTCTCCAAAAATACCTCCAACATTGTTGTTATGAAATATATTCGTAATGTTTTCTTCTATATAAATTTTATTGTTGTAGATCTTATGTCTAAATAAGTAATTCATTATGAATTTATTTTTGTGCATGGAGTTAGACAGAGATTGATTCCTCTTCATTGATTTCATGTGACCTTCTGGTTTTCCCAGGACCATTTGTTAAAGACATTCTCCTTCCCCCATTATATTGTCATGGCTCCTTTATCATGAATTAAATATTGATATGTTGGTGGTCTTTTATGGTTCCATATAAATTTCATTGTTTTTGTTCAATTTCTTTGAAGAATATTTTTATTTCCATGGGGACTGCATCAAATGTATATATCACTTTTGGTAGGATAGTCATTTATATTGATTCTCCTCATTCCCAAGCACGGAATGTCTTTATATATCATGTCACTACCTAAATCCTTCAATAACATCTTGTAGTTCTCATTGTATAAGTCCTTCATCTTCTTGGATAGGTTATAATTCCAAGGTATTTGCTGTCTTCCTCTGGGTCAGTACTAAGATAATGTTGACATCATAAAATGCATGAGGGAGCATTCCCTCTTGAGTTTTAGAAACAATTTGGACAAGATAAGCTTTTGCTTTAGGGAAGGGAAGAGTTTTATTGTTTCAATTTCCATGCCTGTGATTGGTTCATTCAACTCTGTAACTGTTGTCTAAGATATGCTGTAGATGAGCAAAGGAGAGAGCAGAGATATTAGTCAAGAGATGATTACTTCAGGGCCTCCTCTGGTGGCACAGCAATTGAGCCCTGGGCTGCGAAGCTGCCTGAAGCCTCTGCAGTGCAGGTTCGTTCCCTGGCCCCAGGCGAGGGTCCCACATGGCGCACAGACCTCTCCTGCCCATTGCCTGCTGCTCTCCTCAGCAGTGTACTTCATCAGTCTGCCTGTTCTGCTCTCCGCTCTGGTGAATTCTCTCACCCTCCCGTGCTTCTGACTGTACCCAGAGCTTGTATAAATATATAAATAAATCTTTTAAAAAAATAAGAGATGATTATTTCATTAGACAAGTGAGAGTAAAGAGTTACTTGGAGAAAGGCTGTGACAGTGGAGGCAGAGGAAAGTGAATGTACTGGGAAAGTTGTTGAGACCTAGTTGAAACTTATTGATGATCCAGACATGCAAAGTGAGAGAAGGGATTAATCATAGTTCACCTAGAATTTTTAAGTAGCAACTGAACCTGTGAAGTGCAATTTCCTGATATGAAGAAGACTGAGGGAGGAATAACTCTGGAGGGAGAGGGGAAGTAAGAGTTCTGTTTTACTATGTCAACTTGGACTTGGATAATATTCACCCAAAAGTAGGAGTCTGTGACTCAGTGGAAAAGTCAGGATATAGGTAAAAGTGTGTTGTTCTTGCCCATTAAGAGATTGGATGAAATCACACAGGGAGAGTGTGTAGAAAAATGGAGGACAAAAAGGGTAAAAGTTAGAGCCATGGTAGTTGCTCAGCAGTTAAAGGTCACAGGACAAGAAGAAAGGATAGTCTAGCAATTTAAAGTGGGATTACTGGATACCAGACATGTCATTTTTATGATAGTAAATTTTGCTGTTTCATTCTCCAAAGAGTGGCATCAATTTATGATTTTATTGTATCTATAAGCCTTCTGGTTTCTACATATCACCATCCAGTCCTGCCTAACTATGACCAGTCTTATTGTTGTTTTTGTTTTTAACCAATATGTTAAGAGAAAACAGGTTTTGATAGCTTGATAGCTGTAGGTTGTATTTTCTAATTACAGTGAATTTGAACATGTTTTCTCATGTCAATTAGCTATGATCCTCTCTGGAGTCTACTGTCCACCCCAACCTGATCCACTGCTGCCAAGTCCACATGTGCCTCTTGTTCATTCTTTACATTGTCCAGGGGCTGCGGCTCCATCTCTAACCTTGACATTTCATTCTGGAGTTTGAAAGTCTAGCCAGGCACCAGGGTTGCCTCAGAAACTATAAAGAATGCAGAAAGGAAGTCAAGTTCCTTCATAGACCTCCTGAGTGGGACTGAAGGTACAACTGACACCAAGAGAGAAGCATGCCGCTTTGTAGGGCTCCACGGCTCCCTCTCATTGACAGCAAACCTTCTGGGGAGCTGTGACTTCCTGTCTGTGGAACAGTTCAGAGGCAGAGCAGTTTAGGGGGTACTTACTTGTTGAAAGTTCTCCCGTGAAACATACCAGTGGGCAGTGTTGGGGTTGTGAATCAGCACTCCAGAGGATGAGTAAGATTCAGAATATCTAAAAGCCAATAATTAAAGGTCATCTACTAATCAGAATGGACATCCAGGGCTAAGGGTGGGCTTCACCTTAGAGTAGGAACTTGAAGCCCTCTCTGGTGTTCTTGGGTTATTGGCTTTTACTTTTTCTTGCTGGACCTCAGGGAAGAGGTATTGAGGGAGGCATTGGGGAGATCAGGGTAGAGGTGGTTTATCAACAGAACTTCAATATCTTAACAGCCAGTAGAGCAAGACTGAGCACATGCTGACCTGGAATCTCCCCCAACCCCCAGTCTCAGTGGGCCATGGTAGAGATCACTAAGTAGTGTCAAAGCAAGACAATGCTTTCTTTAAATTTTTTTCTGTGTTTTACAAAAGAAAAACAAGTCATCAAAGAAAAAGTACAAGGCAAAAGTGTTAAAAAATTAAAATTTCCATAAGCCCATCAACCAGAGGTAATGACTATTTATATGGAAATTACATTAATATCTTTAAACATAATTTCTACAAAATTGACATTACAAAGTATATTCTTTTTGTACATAAATATACATATTTTCAGTCATGTAAGCAACATTACCAATTCCAGTAGTGATACTTGAAGGGTTACATCCATTTCAGATACATGCTTGTCCCAAATAGTCTTATTTTCAAGATAAAGAGATGGGAGAAGAACACAGCTGGATGCCCTGGGGGTTCTCTTGTCTGTGCCCAAATTTCTGCTTACAACTGACCACACTGGTGGATTTTACTTTGCCTTTCCATTCTTCAATCTACCCTTCTGAGATTTCCTTGGATCTGGATTGGACCATACAAAATCTTTTGTCATTAGGGAATGTTGTAAAAATTGTGCATTTGGTAGGACCCACAGATAGAGAGGAGAGACACAAGACTGCTTCATGTTAAATTTCAAATGACAACTGCTTTATGAAAGAAGCTGCAGTGTCTATAAGCATAGATTATGCCAAAAGGACGGATAGGAAGAGTTTCAGGAGGAATGAGTAAGAGTCAGCACATGTAGTTTATATATTTCACAGGCATCTGAGCAAAAATGAGGCATACAAAGGAGGAAGTCAAGAGGTGACACAAGAAATGTCAATGGGAAAAACCCTAATCTACCAGGAAAAGAAAACAAAGTTCTGCCTCCAGTTTGGAAAAATAATTGCCTAATTTATCAATTGCTTCCTAACTAAGGTAAACAATAAGAAGGAAGAGCTCATTCAGCATGGTATAAAAGGAACATGGAACAAGAAGATTTCCAGATTCAATATATACACTCTCCTGGAAACCCACCCAGCACCTCCACGCTCTGACACCATGGTCAACTCCTGTTGTGGCTCCGTCTGCTCTGAGCAGGGCTGTGGCCAGGCCTCCTCCCAGGAGACCTGCTGCGCCCCTTGCTGCCAGCCCACCTGCTGCCAGCCCCCCTGCTGCACGACCACCTGCTGCAGGCCCAGCTGCTGCACTCCCTGCTGCTCCCCCTGTTGCAAGCCTTGCTGCCCCCCACCTTGCTGCTCCCCCTGCTGCAAGCCTTGCTGCCCCCCACCTTGCTGCTCCCCCTGCTGCAGGCCTTGCTGCCCCCCACCTTGCTGCTCCCCCTGCTGCAGGCCTTGCTGCCCCCCACCTTGCTGCTCCCCCTGCTGCAGGCCTTGCTGCCCCCCACCTTGCTGCTCCCCCTGTAGCTCCCCTTGCTGCCGCCCCAGCTGCTGCATCTCCAGCTGCTGCCGCCCCTCCTGCTGTGGCTCCAGCTCTAGCTGCTGTGGCTCCAGCTGCTGCCGCCCTGCCTGCTGTATTTCTAGCTGCTGCCGCCCAGTCTGCTGCCGCCCCAGCTGCTGCATCTCCAGCTGCTGCCGCCCCTCATGCTGCATCTCCAGCTGCTGCCGCCCCTCATGCTGCATCTCCAGCTGCTGCCGCCCCACCTGCTGTGGCTCCAGCTGCTGCCGCCCCTGCTGCTCTGCTGGTTCTTGCTGCTGAGTGTCCTGCTCTGGACCCAGACCCTTCTTGACCACCCTTCAGTCTAGAAAGTGAGAAGCTAAATCAACAGACACATGGCACCTGGTGTCATGAGTTTACAAATAGACCCACGGACTGATGTGCAAACCTCGGGTCTCCAAATATTACTCGTTCTCTTTGTAACACATCTCATCACTAGTGAATCAGAAGTGATAGTCAAATTTGGCTATCAAATTGCTTTAGAATTACTCATTCTGATTCAAAATAGAGGAGTATTCAAATGTTCCCCTTCTAGATTTTTTCTATGTAATCCATTTAAAAGTAGAATTGCTTGATATTCTCTAATAAAACTTTATAGCATCCAAAGACATTGAATTGCTCATCTCTCCTTATCTCTTATTATAAAATATTCAATGTGTACAGTAGTGCATGTCCTCAGGGATCCCTACAACAAAAAATTAAAGTGGTGTTCACGCATGAAATGCGTATCAGAAAAGAATTTAGTCTCAGAGTAGAAATGAGAAAAGGTGAAAGGGGAAGATCTTTGAAATTAGAAGGTGAAACTTGAGAGCCATGGATTAAAACTGCTATGAAAAATTTAAAGGTTCCCAAAGAATTGATAGTAACCAATAAATAGAGGCAATTCTGCACAGGGGGTAGCCTGTGACTTGGGGTTCAGACTTTAGCCAGATTTCTGATTGTAGTGATCTTGAACATTTTACTTAAGCTTGCCATCTGGATTTTTTTTTCTTTTTTGAAAAAACCACACTGGGCACCTTTCAATATTGTTATACATCACTAGTCGAATTAGGTATAGGACAATGGTGGCACTTTAGAAATCATTACAGAGAGGAAGGATTACTAATTAAATGGCATAGGACAGCTAGGTCCTTGTATGAAGAATGGAAGGAAGGAGATGCTATTTCATCCATTAAACCAAACAAATTTCATTTGCATGAAAAAGTCAACATGAAGGACATTGGACAAGAGCTCAAAGAATTGAAGAGAGATTTCCAAACATAATCTTAGCTTATTCTAAATAATATACACACATGCACACACATAAATATATACACACATGTAGAGAAACACGCAACCCATGAGGTTTTAAAAATCCCATTAAACAAATAAATTAAAATAAATACAAATGCTCCCCAGTGGTTAATCAGTAGACACCAGTCATCAGATTCCACATGGATGTTTTTTCCCAAAATGTGAGGTCTTATGGAAATTTTGGAGCTGCTTTCTTAAACCATTACGGGGCTCCCGAGGGCCTGTGTCCCCATAGTAACTCAGAAATGGCTTTTGTTTGCCCACCTGCTGTGACACAGTGAGGCGCAGGAACTTGTCATGTCAACAAAGCGCCTCGTCTGGCCCATCAGCGTTATGCCCACACCGTCTCAGACACAGGCCAGCTCCACACAGTCTGGTCCAGGCCCAGGCTGCTGTCTCGCTCCTGTGTCAACCTGGATCAGCCCAGGGCAGGAGCAGAAACTGCTCAGAACAAAAAGGCACCACCAGGAGCTCGGCTTGTGGCCTTATGGCAGAGAAACCCCCAACTTCCCCCATCCAGGGTCTCCTGTGGGTTCCTGAGGTTTCTCAGCAGCCCTGGCTTCCCCACACCCTGCACTGACATCCCATTCAGCACCATCCCCACGGGGCAGAGATGAGCTCCTGCTTCTCTGTGAGCCCCTCCCGGGCAAGCCCGCAGCCTGGGCCAGGCTCCCTCACAGCCCTCCGGCGGGGCAGGGTGTCTGCACCCAGCTCTCTCGTCTTTAGACTCAACTCCCCAAGATTTGCCATCTGCTCCTGATGGGTCATGATGGCACCAACCAGGCAATTTTACTTGTAAGGTACCCAGCTGACCTCCATTTATCTCATGAACCCCTGAATTAAAAGCATTTTCCTGGTGTGTTCTCAATGCTCAAAGATGCCTCCTCTTCATTTTTCAGTAACACACTTCCATAACAGCTATCCATATCCTGTCTCACTGTTGAAAATAAAGACCTAAGGAGTAAAATCTGATCAATAACTTGAAAAACCAATCAGGGGATGACACACCATCATCAGAGCCATTGATTCAACAGAGACAACAAGATGCTGGTAATAATTTAATAATTAGAGTAAAAGATAAGGACACTGGACAGTCTAACGGGCTGGGAAGTAAGTCTTGAAAACAGAGGATTTGAGTTGATATGCCCTGTAAAACCCACAACAACAAGAATCAGCACCTGCCAAACAGAGAGCTGTGGTCTTGAACCTTCTGAAACAGCTTCTCTCTCTCTCTCTCTCTCTCTCTCTCTCTCTCTCTCTCTCTCTCTCTCTCTCTCTGCAGCCACTTCCCCCCAAACCTCTAAACTAAACTTTAGAGAATTGCTTCTGGAGAAAATGAGTTATCATCTCATACCTCTGAGTCTGACAAAGACAGAACAAGATAACCTGTGTTGGCAAGAAGGTGAGAAATTAGAACTCTGGTACCTGTGGTGGGAAAGCAAACTGGAGCAGTCACTGTGGAAAAGGTATGGGTGTGCCTTAAAAAATTAAAAACTGTGCTCTAACCCAGCACCCCAGTTTTGGGCACACAGCTGAAAGACTTGAAACACAGATCTTGAAAAGAAACTACTGCCATGGTGATTGTAGGGTTATCCACAACAGTCAAGATATGCAACCTACCCAAACGCTTGCTGACAGGCAAGCAGATAATATATTACAATGGGATACTGTTCAGTGATGAACAAGAAAAAGTCCCACCATTTGCAACACCAGGGAGAGACCTACAAGACAAGAAGCTGAGTAATGGAAGTTAGCTACTGATGGGCTAACACTGCAGGAGTCCATGTGTAGGTAGTGTCTGGAATAGACAAATTCACTGAAGCAAAAAATAAAATGACAGTTTTCAGGGGAGGGTGGTATGGGTAATTGTTGTCCAATAGGTATAAATTGGCAGCATGTGAATGAATGACTTTAGAGGTCTTTCTGTGCAACATTGCTAACCAGCTAGCAGTGCAGGGCGGCAAGTTCACACATGTTAAGCCTGAGGTCTCAGGCTAAGGCTATGATATGTTCCAATTCATCAAAACGAAAATATGAAGGTCAATTTTTTACATATTAAGTATACCTCAATAAAGTGAAATAAACATCAAAATTTCACAGTTTAGTTTTCCTCCTTTCAATAATTGTTTCCCACCAGAAGTCTAGAATACGAGTCATGGTTCACAGTGGGGAAGGAATGTTTCCTCCAAGTCTCCTCAACCTGGTGCCAGCGCCCTGGGGCACGTTCGATCCTCCTCTGCCTGCCTGACTCACAGAATGAGCCATGAGGCTGAAATGCAGTTTTGTGCCGCTGGACACCAACATGATGATGGATTCACATTCTTTATCCCGAGAGTGGACACGACACCGTCAAGCCTGACTCGCGCACATGCCACCAGGAGCTGCCACCCCAGGGCAGCTTTCCTTGAGGAGAGAAAGCCAAACCACAGGGAGCAGATGGAGCTGGAGGGTGACTCCTGACACTTTGGGGAAGGGATCATGTTTTCTCTCCTCCTTGACACGTTTGGCCAGGAAGACAAACTAACTTCTTTTGCTAATTGCCAGTTAATTAGGACAGACAATGACAAGGCAGGGAGCTGCATCTGAGCACAGCAGCCTCTTTGCAGGGTATAAAAGGTGACCCAGGCCAGGAGACTCCAAACCTTCCTAGCACCTTCCTGAAAACTCTCCTAGATCCTCCACCATCTGACACCATGGTCCACTCTCGCTGTGGCTCTGTGTGCTCCAAGCAGAGCTGTGAAGAGTCCTGCTGCTGTCGGCCCCAGTGCTGCCAGTCTGTGTGCTGCCGGCCCAGCTGCTGCATCTCCAGCTGCTGCCGCCCCAGCTGTGGCTCCAGCTGTTGCAGGCCCAGCTGCTGCATCTCCAGCTGCTGCCGCCCCAACTGTGTTTCCAGCTGTTGCAGGCCCAGCTGCTGCATCTCCAGCTGCTGCCGCCCAGCTGTGTTTCCAGCTGTTGCAGGCCCAGCTGCTGCATCTCCAGCTGCTGCCGCCCCAGCTGTGTTTCCAGCTGTTGCAGGCCCAGCTGCTGCATCTCCAGCTGCTGCCGCCCCAGCTGTGTTTCCAGCTGTTGCAGGCCCAGCTGCTGCATCTCCAGCTGCTGCCGCCCCAGCTGTGTTTCCAGCTGTTGCAGGCCCAGCTGCTGCATCTCCAGCTGCTGCCGCCCCAGTTGTGTTTCCAGCTGCTGCAGGCCCACTTGCTGCATCTCCAGTTGCTGCCGCCCTAGCTGTGGTTCCAGCTGTTGCAGGCCCAGCTGCTCCATCTCTAGCTGCTACCAGACCACCTGCTGCAAGACCACCTGCTGCAGACCCAGCTGCTGTGTGTCCAGCTGTTGCCGCCCAGCCTGCTCCAGTGCTTCTTGCTGCTAAGTGCCCTGATTTGCACCCAATGTTTTTTGTGAACCAATTTTCTTGATGTTGGACAACTGTGATCTTAAACTGGGTTTGACACCTGAATATATTGCTTCCCCCACATGTTGCTATTTCTCCCTAATGACAACCAAATTTGAATATTCTCTGAAATCTGTCAGCTAACATGTCATCCCAGCTGATATATTTGTTCCCTGCCACAATTTCTCATGTACTAGTATTCTTCTTCTGAAATGAAACTTAATATTCTAGGCATGCAAATATAAGAGCATCTTGACTCAATATTGCTTTCTTGACTTGTCATCCTTTCTTGTCAACTGTTCTGTTCTTCCTGCAGGAAGATTAGATACAGAGGGTGAGGCCAGGGCATCACCTTCATCCCTCAGCTCTCCTGTTCTAAGTAGGAAGATGGCTTCTTCTTACCTTCTTATTGAAGTTAACATTGGTTTATAACACTATAGGTTGCAGGTGTACAGTTTCTTATTTCTTCAGTGTATAATTCACACCACACTCACCACCAAATGTCTAGTCACCATCCACCACCAAGCACTTCCCCCACCTCCCCTCTGGTACCTACCATTCTTTTGTCAGAGGGACAATGGAGTCTTTTCTTTTTTAAAGATTTATTATTTATGTATGCATACAAGAGCTGGGGTACAGGCCAGAGATGCGGGGTGGAGGGGTGAGAGGATTCACCAAAGACAGAGCGGGGAACAGAACAGGAAGATTGATGAAATACATTGCTGAGGGGAGAAGTGGGAGAGAGGAGAGGTCTGCTTCACCACGTGGGTTGCTCCCTGGCCGGCCGGGGACCGAACTCATGCTTCAGAGGCTGCGGATTGCTTCATAGTGTGGTGCTTAGCCTCTTGAGCCACCAGGGAGGCCCGGGACTAGGATTCTTACACATGGAGTCTGAGTAAGGGATTCGGATGAAGGAGCAAGATCTGGGTGGACAGGAAGTGAGGAGCTGATACCTCCAGGAACAGCACTCAACCAGTAGGCAAGAGTCAGTGGATGAGCACCCTAGCTTTTTCCATTTTGGCAGGGCATGTTGTGTTAGTATCTGGGTGTCCTCATGGGATTGAACCCAGCTACCCTCAGGAGTAATCAGCTCATTAAAATGTTCTATTTTGGTTTCTATTCCCCTCAGGTTCTTGACAATTCTTTTAGGATCATCTCCCAAGTAATTCTTGCTCTGACACCTCTATATTTTCAGTTTGCTTCTGAGCACACCCTACCCAAGACACCAGAATTACCAATCTCACACTCAGTGCCCACCTGACATTAGTATTTTTTATTCCCAGGAGATTCCAATATGAGTCAACTTGGGAACCCACATTTTGAGCTGGTCTTATTCGGATTTCTCCACCAGGGACACACCACTCTATCATGAGAATGTATCTGCCTTTACAACTGTTGCATATGATTTTCTTAATCTCTTTGAATTTGTACAGAAAATGTACACTAGTTATCAAGCACTCTTTTTTCATGTTGTTATTTTCCCTCAGGATCTTATATCTGAGACAATGAAATGGAAATCTCTCCCCTAGGGGAAATATACTTGTTGAAATATTTCATGTCCTTCAGATCTACAAACACAAGCCTAGAAAATAAACTATAAATCAAACTTTTACCAAGCAAGATACTATGATAAAAATATCACCAGGGGCTTGAATTTAAATGACCTTAATGATGACATTGAAGGATGTAGACAGGGGACATCCAACTCGTCTTGAATTTGACCTTCAATGCTAAGGTCCTGAGAACACTCTTAGTCCTTCCTGGACAGACAGGGATGGTGGTTGCTGCCCCATGAAACTGGGAAGAGTCTAAACAAAGGCTTGGTCCTCACAGAATATCTCTGACTATGCCAGCCTCATGGGCATCACGTTAGTCACCTCACAGACACGTGTCAACTAAAGATGTTGGGCAGAAAGTCAGTCATACTCTTGCCACCTGTTTGAAGTTCTAGGTCAAAGCTAATCTATAAAAAACAATCTTTTAATCACTGGTTGCCTGTGTGGTGACAGTGCTCACTGCGGTGACGTGTGTGTCCTCGCTGGCTGGTGGGTTTGTTCTCTGTCGTAGCAGGTGTGGGTTGCCTGGGTGTGTCCATTGACCAGACGTAGCCAAGTGCCACACTGAGGATCTGTGCATTTGAAGATGTGTGTGTCTTACCTGAAATGTGAAATAAGTCATGAAAATAATTAAAAATAGCAAATAGTAATTATTGCTTAAGAATAAATGTATGGGCTTGCCAAATTGTGATGCTGACTAATTTGCCTTCAGGATATTCTTTTAGTGGAATTACACGGCTCTGAGATCCTGTGATGTTGCTCTACCGCATGGCATTACAGTTGGGTGTCTCTGTGTGTGAGTGTGTTTGGTCTTCCTGTGAACTGCAAATTCCCCAAGAGGAGACTCTAAATCACATTTGTAACCCCAAGAGCTGGAAACACGTATCTCCAGATAACCAGCTCACACAATTACTTCATGAGCGAGGCAGGAACTTGACACAGGCACTTCTTCAAAGCCTGTGTGAACAGACTAAAGCAGCAGGTCTCCACATGTGTACCTGGGCCCCTCAGCATGAAGGTGATGTGGACACTTGCTAGAAATGCAGACCTTCAAGCACCCCTGCCCCTAATCAGAAACTCAAGGTGGAGCCCCAGGACTTTCAGCCACTCTCTGGATGACTCCCATGTACTTTCCAAAGGGACATTCACTAAGTTGAACAAATGGTACCGATAAGTAATTGAATAAATCAAATATCATTTAAGTAAGTTTGAATTTACTAATATCCATTCACATTTCAAATCAAAACTTGTGCTGTATTTTTCCAGCTTTGGAGGTAAGTTGTCAAGAGAGGCACATTTTGATAATTGATCATATTTTTGCTTCATTGAGAGAATATTTTTATTATGGAAGTGGAATAAAGATGAGATTATACCTTTCAGAAGGGAAGAACGAATCTGGAGAGAAAACATACATGTATAGACACCAAAATAGCCAATTCAGAAACCATGGCAAGCTGTAGTAACAGGAACCATGTTGATAGATTATCCACCAGGGTTTAGGATATTGATGATCCAACCTTTGAAACATCTAACCATCCTGTGGTTCAGAGACCATCAAGTCCAAACAGAGTGGTCCCCTCTCTCATTGCTCAAAATAAGCTCTTTTCCTCTTGTCTGAGCCACAATCCACTCAAAGAAAAGTGATGCTTTCCCCTTTAGTCACTGGAGCAAAGGCATAGGCATGAATATGACTGTCCAAATCCTATCCTGCTGGGGATACAGCAGGGGGAAAGTCAGACCCGTCATTTCAAAGGCCACTACACAGGACAGCCTGTGAAGACAATGATGAGAATGTGGCCAGAAGATGCCAGAAGGTGTGAAGGAGGAGGATATCAAACTGGAGAGTATTTATCACATCCGGATAAGAAACTTTATTTCCTAAAATTTATAATCTGTAAATATTGGGTCCTAATCCCATCCTGATAGGAGACACAGGAGGGGGAGAGCAGGAAGCTGTCTGTGCAGGAAGAGAGTGGTTGAAAGGATGACTGCAGGTGTGAATCAGGGGGAAAAGCACATCCCATGGAATTTCTCTTATTTGGAAAAGAAATTTTGTTTCCCACCACATTAAATATTAAAAGGATAAAGGTGAGTGGGATCAGATAATGACTTAAGTGTTAGGTAAACATAAACAAGGAAAAGGTGCAGGCAACACATCGGTTTAGCAGTATATAAGAGGCCACAATGCCAGGAGACTTCCAAACTCAACCTCACTCTCCTGGAAACCCACCCAGAACCTCCCCCCTCTGACACCATGGTCAACTCCTGTTGTGGCTCCGTCTGCTCTGAGCAGGGCTCTGGCCAGGGCTCCTCCCAGGAGACCTGCTGTGCCCCTTGCTGCCAGCCCACCTGCTGCCGGACCACCTGCTGCACAACCACCTGCTGCAGGCCCAGCTGCTGCACTCCCTGCTGCTCCCCCTGCTGCAAGCCTTGCTGCCCCCCACCTTGCTGCTCCCCCTGCTGCAAGCCTTGCTGCCCCCCACCTTGCTGCTCCCCCTGCTGCAAGCCTTGCTGCCCCCCACCTTGCTGCTCCCCCTGCTGCTCCCCCTGCTGCAGGCCTTGCTGCCCCCCACCTTGCTGCTCCCCCTGCTGCAGGCCTTGCTGCCCCCCACCTTGCTGTTCTCCCTGCTGCTCCCCTTGCTGCCGCCCCAGCTGCTGCATCTCCAGCTGCTGCCGCCCCTCCTGCTGTGGCTCCAGCTCTAGCTGCTGTGGCTCCAGCTGCTGCCGCCCTGCCTGCTGTATTTCTAGCTGCTGCAGACCCTCCTGCTGCCGCCCAGTCTGCTGCCGTCCTAGCTGCTGCATCTCCAGCTGCTGCCGCCCCATTTGCTGTGGCTCCAGCTGTTGCCGCCCTTGCTGTTCTGCTGGTTCTTGCTGCTGAGTGTTCCACTCTGGACCCAGACCCTCCTTGTTGCCCCCAGTCCAGAAAGAGAGCAGCTAAATCAACAGACACATGCATGGCACCCTGGTGTCATGAGTTTACAAACCTCAGGTCCCCAAATTATTACTCATTCTCTTTTGTAACACTTCTCATCACTAGTGAATCAGAAGTAATTTGGTTATCAAATTGCTTTAAAATTCCTAATTCTGATTCCAAATAGAGAAGTATTCAAATAGTCCCCTTCTAGATCTTTCCCTGTGTAATCATTTTCTCTGTAACCCATTTTCATGTGGAATGGTTTGATATTCTCCAATAAAAATTTTTAGCATTCAAAATATTAAGTTGCTTATCTCTCATCATTTCTCATTCATGAAATGTGCAGTGCACACGGCACTCTTCTGTACAACACAGCAGTGCTTGTCCTTGGGAAAAACCCTACACCATCACCAGCACCAAGAAAATGAAATTAACTCAAATGAAATTTGTATTCAGACCAGGATTCAGTCTCACAGCAGAACTGAGATGAGGTTGAAAGGGAGGCATCTTTAAATCTAATATGTCTAACATGGATTAATATTGATTCCCAAAAAGGAGTCCCAAAAGCCATAAACCATACTTGAGTTAAACCAATTTACATATAGACTTAGGATGGAACTATAGAATGGAACAAGTCAGGACTAGGATGAAATCAACTTGTTCAAAATTCTGAGTAAACCACCTGCCAACAGGGCTTCTGCGCATTTTACTTAAACTCTTTCTCCCGAGGCTTGATTTTCCCTAAAGATCACAACCAACCTATCAAGGATGCCACATTGAGTAATCACCATGGGTCACCATGTCTCATGTTACACCTTTATACCGTTCCCGCTCATCACCCATAATCACTGCCTAACACTACTCTGTTGTTCTGGCTGTAATTTTATTTCAAGCCTGTTCTACAAGTGGAATCTCACAAAATCTAACCTTTGGTGATTGGCTTTTTTGCACTCAGCTTTATGTCCTTGGGATCATGCCAGTTTTCTGTGTATCAGTAACTTGCTCCTTTTATGGCTGAGTAGTATTCCACAGTTGTGGAAGTGCCAAAGTGGTTTATTTATCACTTCACCCGTTGGAGGATTTGGATTGTTTTTTGTCCTTATTTTTTGTTTATTTAGTATTCATTCATTCATTCATTCATTCATTTTTTTTATAGGAAAGAATTTATTGAGGCTCCTACTTACAGGCAAACATGATTACTTTTCAGTTGCAAGACAAGCTGTCTTGACTGAGTAAATTTGTCCATGTGTTCTATCTCTTGTTCCTTATGGCTTTTAAAATTCCATAAAAAAACATTGGATAGTCTTCTTGGACAAATACTTTTAATATTTCTTATAAGAAAATTAGGTTTTCCTTGGAGAATCTTAGTGTCTTTTTTATAAGCACTCATTTTTTATAATCATTTGTTTTTATAATCATCAATTAAATTTGGATAGGCAGATAGAGACAAAGAAGGTAAAATCTGCTCCAGGTGCATAAAAGCAGGTTCTGTTAATTTCTGTGGAATATGTATTTACGCTCAACATTCAGGAGATTTCATTTCATTTAGCAATAACCTGGGAACATAGTTTTTTTTTTTGGTAATGATAAATATTTATTTATTTATTTGTTTGTTTATTTATTTTAATAATAAATTTTATTTTTATATTCCCCATACAGTTGCAACCCCCCCTTTCTGATCCCAATCCCTCCCCTCCCACCCCCCACCCCCCAAAAGTGTCTCTGTTTCATAGTTTTTTGTTGATTCTGATTTTCACTTTCTTATAGTTATTCATTTTCCTGGTCCCTTATTTAAGTTTTCTAGATTCCTGCTATGAGTGAGACCATCCGGTATTTTTCTTTTTCTTTCTGGCTTATTTCGCTGAGCATGATCCCTTCCAGCGCCATCCATGTTGCTGCAAATTGCATGTGTTTATCTTTTTTGAATGCTGAGTAATATTCCATGGTGTATATGTACCACATCTTCTTGATCCAGTCATCTATTTTTGGGCATTTGGGCTGTTTCCAAAGCTTAGCTATTGTAAATAGTGCTGCTATAAACATAGGGGTGCAGGTGTTCTTTGGAATTGATGTTTCTGTGTCCTTTGGGTAAATACCTAGGAGTGGAATTGCTGGATCATATGGAAGCTCTATGTTTAGTAGGTCCAGAAATCTCCACACAGCTCTCCATAGTGGTTGGACCAGTTTGCACTCCCACCAACAGTGCAGAAGAGTTCCTTTTTCTCCACACCCTCGCCAACATTCGTTGTTGCTAGTTTTTTTTAATATGTGCTATTCTCACTAGTGTAAGATGGTATCTCATGGTAGTTTTGATTTGCATTTAACCTGGGAACATAGTTTTAATGATGCATAATGTTCCAAGGGACTAGATCACTTTCCTAAGTAATTTTAACTCAAGATTATTATTTAGGCATTTGTTATATGTTTTATTTTGAATATAAGCCTTTTTAGAAAAACACAAAAGAACATATATATTCTATAACAAAATATTTATTTATTTTTAAAGATTTATTTATTTATATATACAAGAACTGGGGTATAGGCCCGATTCACAAGAGGGTGAGAGGATTCACCAGAGACAGAGCGGAGAACAGAACAGGCAGACTGACTGAAATACACTGCTGAGGCGAGCAGCGGGTGGGACAGGAGAGGTCTGCCATGCCATGTGGGACCCTCCTCGCTGGCTGGCCGGGATCAAACTGGTACTGCAGAGGCTTCGGACAGCTCCACAGTACTGCGCTCAACCGCCTGCGCCACCAGGGGAGGCCCCACATGAATACTTTAAAAATGTGAAACTACATGACTACATCTGAGAGCAGCTAAAATCCTAGGGTAAACTTGAACTTAGGTAGGAGGAAGGCAGGAGAACCATGAATGGAAAAGAAAATTGGAAAAATAGTAAACTATATGCATTTTGGAAGAATGGAAAGTCAGGGATATCCAGACACTGGGGGTGCCACTGAGCAGAGATGGGAAACAGACCTAAAAGATAATAAGAAGTAAGTGTGGGATAAATGGCCGTAAAAGTCACAATGGAAATGAATACCTTTAAAAGGGATTAGGACAGCTAGAACCCTAGTGTCAGGAGTTTACAAACAGACCCACGGACTGATGTGCAAACCTCGGGTCTCCAAATTATTACTCATTCTCTTTTGTAACACATGGCATTACTAGTGAATCAGAAGTGACAGGAAAATGTGGTTATCAAATTGCTTTAAAATTCCTAATTCTGATTCCGAATAGAGGAATAGTCAAATGGTTCCCTTCTAGATCATTCCCTATGTAATAATTTTCTCTGTAACCCATCCAGCACTGTCCCCACCGGAAGTAAAAATAAAAGGAGAGGACAAGAAAGAAAGGAAGGAGCTACTACAGCATCCATTAAATCGAAACAAATTTCATGCACAGGAAAAACTCAATATAAATGAAATTGTGAAAGTACTGGAAGAACTCAAGAGGGATGTCCAGACATAATCTTAGCATATTTTAAAACACACGCACACTAGTGAACAACAACAAAAAAAAACAATTTAGATAAATAGATATGATTTCACAGATTCATTTCTACGCCCCAATCATAAAAGTGTCTCACCAGCAACTCCTGTCTCCAAATACAAGCCCTTAAGGAAACTCAGGGTTGCAGTGATTATCTGTGAGTGGTTCTCTGCTGCGTTTGAAATTGCTTTTTGTTCGCGCATCTGCTGTGGCAAGGAAGAGACACAGGACCTTGCCAACAAAGCGCTGCGTCTGGCCTGTCCGCGTTATGCCAGCACAGGCTCAGACACAGGCCAGCTCCACGCGGGCCAGTCCGGGCCCAGGCTGCTGTCTCGCTGCTGTGTCAACCTGGATCAGGCCAGGTTAGGAGCAGAAACTGCTCAGAACAAAAAGGCATCACCAGGAGCTCTCTCATGCCCCTATGTGGCCCCAGGGCAGAGGAGCCCCCAAGTCCTCCCATGCAAGCTTCTCCAGGGGGTTCCTGAGGTTTCTCAGCAGCCCTGGCCTCCTCACACCCTGCAATGACATCCCATCCAGCACCATCCCCGTGGGACAGTGATGAGCTCCTGCTTCTCTGTGAGCCCCTCCCAGGCCAGCCCTCAGCCTGGGCCAGGCTCCCTCACAGCCCTCCCCAAGGGCAGGGTGTCTACGCCCAGCTCTCTCGTCTTCAGACTCAGTTTCCCAAGATGCGCCATCTGCTCCTGATGGATCGTGACGGCACCAACCCGGCAATTTTACTTGTAAGGTACCCAGACATTTATCTCATGCAGCCCTGACCTAGAGCCCCCCAGGTAGTTCTGTTGCTCAGAGAAGAGTGGAATGGCCCCCTTGTCCTTTGTCAGTTCCTCTCTCTCATGCCAGCATCCTGGGTAGGTATTTTGGACATATTTATTACCCAAATTGTAGTTATGATCTCATGGGTGTGTGTGAACTTCCCAACTCATCAAAACATACAGGTTCAACAACGCCAAATGTTTGCAAATTGGGCATACTTTACTACAGCAGGAAAAGAGCCAACATCAAACTTTACAACTTAGTTTTCCTCTTTAAAAGTGACTTGTTTCCCATCACAGAGTAGAAAAAGCGCATCATGTTTCCTCCAAGTTTCCTCTTCCTGGTGCCAGCGCCCTGGGGCACGTTCGATCCTCCTCTGCCTGCCTGACTCACAGAATGAGCCATGAGGCTGAAATGCAGTTTTGTGCCGCTGGACACCAACATGATGATGGATTCACATTCTTTATCCTGAGAGTGGACACGACACTGTCAAGCCTGACTCGTGCACGTGCCACCAGGAGCAGCCACCCCAGGGCAGCTTTCTTTGAGGAGAGAAAGCCAAACCACAGCGGGTGGGCAGAACTGGAGGGTGACTCCTGACGCTTCAGGGAAGGGATCATGTTTTCTGTATTCCTTGACACTTTGACCAGGAAGACAAACTGGCCTCCTTTGCTAATTGCCAGTTAATGAGGTCAGACAATGGCGAGGCAGAGAACTGCATCTGAGGACAGCAGTCCCTTTGCAGGGTATAAAAGGTGACCCAGGGCCAGGAGACTCCAAACCTTCCTAGCACCTTCCTGAAAACTCTCCCAGATCATCCATCCTCTGACACCATGGTCCACTCTTCCTGTGGCTCTGTGTGCTCCAAGCAGAGATGTGAAGAGTCCTGCTGCTGTCGGCCCCAGTGCTGCCAGTCTGTGTGCTGCCGGCCCAGCTGCTGCATCTCCAGCTGCTGCCGCCCCAGTTGTGTTTCTAGCTGCTGCCAGCCCAGCTGCTGCATCTCCAGCTGCTGCCGCCCCAGCTGTGTCTCCAGCTGCTGCAGGCCCAGCTGCTGCATCTCCAGCTGCTGCCGCCCCAGCTGTGTTTCCAGCTGTTGCAGGCCCAGCTGCTGCATCTCCAGCTGCTGCCGCCCCAGCTGTGTTTCCAGCTGTTGCAGGCCCAGCTGCCGCATCTCCAGCTGCTGTTGCCCCAGCTGTGGCTCCAGCTGTGGCTCCAGCTGTTGCAGGCCCACCTGCTGCATCTATTGCTGCTGCCAACCCACCTGCTGCAAGGCTACTTGCTGCCAGACCACCTGCTACAGACCCAGCTGTGTGTCCATCTGCTGCCGCCCAGCCTGTTCCATCGCTTCCTGCTGCTGAGTGCCTGACCTACACCCCATTTTCATCACTCAATGCTGATATCCTCCCACCTGAACCAATGTGTGACACCAATACTATAAATGCAATTCCGACTCATCTTACACTCAGCTTGGTCTCAAACATCCTGCCTGACCCACATTACTATTTCTTTCTCAAATGAAACAAAATTGACTTTTTTTTATATCAACCGACATGCCATCCCAATTGATATATTTGTTCCCTGCCCCATTTTCTCACATGGAGATATTCCTACATATTAAATAAATCTTAATTTCCAGACAGAAAAATATAAGCACCTTGTGTCTCATTACTTCCCTTTTGATTTGCCACATTTGTCATCTCTACCTGTCGATTGTCAGTTGTTCTTCCTGCAGTTAAGAGTAGATATAGCTTGAGGTCCGGTTTCCACCTCTGTCCCTTAACTCCTTTTTCTAGGAGGGAAGTTGATGTCTTACAGCTGGGACTCTGGGACTCCTGCTGGGGACTCTTCTGGTGAGGGAGTGAACTCAGGGCAGTACAGCCCTGGAGGAGCTTATGCACCAGGTCCAACACTCCACCAGCGGAGGGAGCTGGTGGGCAAACACCCCAATGTGTCACCTGGAGCAAGGGTGTGTGCCCATCTCCGGAAATCCTCTTGGGATTGAACCTCGCTGCCCTCAGAAGTAATCTCCTCATTAAATTGTTCTGTGCTTACTTCACCTTTCTCAGGTTTCTTACAGCTCTAAGATTATATTCAAAATAAACTATTTGCTCTCAAGCCTTAACTTTTGGCTCTGGTCCTGAGGGCACCTACCCAAATGTGAGCATCAGTGCCCTTCAAGAATCCTTCATAATATACTAGTGGTCACCAGTTTCTCGGTGAGCTCTTGAATTTACTATACTGAGAGGCAAGATCCTTTGAATATTTGGCTGTTTTTTCTCACATGTGTCACACATTGCATTTGGAGCAGTATCTCTACGTGCTTCCAAATCACTATAGATACAGGTCAGGACACACGCCCACTGCCCATGTTGGCACCTCTCATCCGAGGGGAGCTGTGTGAAGGGCAGACCCCTCGAAGTTGTAGGCCTTTTACTGGGATTCACTGAACGCGGAGCCTAAACTGGGACACAGTGGAGGGCGGGTGAGGACAGCTCTCAGGGAGATGTCAGGAAGAACCTGAGGGAAGCAGGAAAGATGAGAGAAGAAGCTGAGCCCAGGTGGGTCTTCAGGTGATTTGTATCCTCTTGAGGCCACAGAGCAGGGTACGAATGGTACTTCAGCCGCTCCCCACCTAGAGAAAAGGCAGGTGGGCTTTTTTGCCCTATGTCAGCTGCACTCTCTGAGGACCCTGCTAGTGGCTAGAGGGGGCAGAGAGGATAGGAACCTCTGGGTGTGGCAGCTCCTAGAGGCTGAGAACAATTACCTGGAGAACAGAGTGAGTCCCTAGGTGTCTGCACTCACTCTTGTGTGGGCGTGAGGGCATTTATGGCTAAAGGGATCAGGTGAATATCATATAGTCCACCCCTGGCATTTCTCAGGTGGTCTTATTTCTCGGCAGCCCATGCCAACTACATGGTTCACAATGTCTAGATAAATTTAGTAGAGGAGGGTTGTCCCCATGACAAGGGAAATTAAACAAATAACAATGGGGTTACTTCTAATACAGAGGCAGAAAGTATACAGAGGAGAAAGTATAAGTAAGTTAAAATCACATCCTTCATAGTTGTCATTCTTTATAGAAATAGAACAACAACAACAAAAAGCCATCAAATTATTTGATCAGCCAGAACAATCCTGAGGAAAAAGAATAATTATGGGAGTATCACACTCTCTGACTTCAAGATGTACTACAAAGCCTCAGTAATCAAAACAGTATAGTATGGGAACAATACACAAATCTAGGGAATAGAACCCAGAGCCAGAAATAAATGACACATATGGACAACTAATTTATGACAAAGTTACAAAGAGCATAAAATAGGGAAAGGAAAGTCTCTTCAGTAAATGGGGTTGGAAAAATTGGAAAGTCACATGCACAAGGAAAAATTTTTAATATGAATGGGATAAGGAGTAAAAATGATGCTACCTCAAGCAGAGTCAGGACCGTTCTGTAGATACAGAATCCAAACATGTAAATGAGCCAAGTAACCGCGTAAGAAATGGAGGGATTGGTAAGAACTATGTAAATAAATTTCCTGTCAGAGTTTAACATTTGAAATGTCCAAGGAAACCAGTTCCAGTGGTGGAAAGAAAGCAGGGTCATATTCACAGAGGACTGTCCCTTTCCTCATTGCTCAAAAGTGACCCTCAAATAGATCTTTTCATCTTGTCCTACACAGATGGGATTTCTTCCTCATTGGTCATTGCAACAAATGAACCAGAAATATGATGGTCCTAATCCCATCCTGATAGGAGACATAGGAGGGGGAGAGCAGGAAGCTGTCTGTGCAGGAAGAGAGTGGTTGAGAGGATGCTTACAGGTTTGAATCAGGGGGAAAAGCACAACCCATGGAATTTCCCTCATTTGGAAAAGAAATTTTGTTTCCCGCCACATTAAAGGATAAATGTGAGTGGGATCAGATAATGACAAAAGTGTTAGGTAAACAAGGAAAAGTTGCCAGCAACACATCTGGTTTGGCAGTATATAAGAAGCCGCGATGCCAGGAGACTTCCAAACTCAACCTCACTCTCCTGGAAATCCACCCAGAACCTCCCCCCTCTGACACCATGGTCAACTCCTGTCGTGGCTCCGTCTGCTCTGAGCAGGGCTGTGGCCAGGGCTCCTCCCAGGAGACCTGCTGTGCCCCTTGCTGCCAGCCCAGCTGCTGCCAGACCACCTGCTGCACAACCACCTGCTGCAGGCCCAGCTGCTGTACTCCCTGCTGCTCTCCCTGCTGCAAGCCTTGCTGCCCCCCACCTTGCTGCTCCCCCTGCTGCAAGCCTTGCTGCCCCCCACCTTGCTGCTCCCCCTGCTGCAAGCCTTGCTGCCCCCCAACTTGCTGCTCCCCCTGCTGCAGGCCTTGCTGCCCCCCACCTTGCTGCTCCCCCTGCTGCTCCCCCTGCTGCAGGCCTTGCTGCCCCCCACCTTGCTGTTCCCCCTGCTGCTCCCCTTGCTGCCGCCCCAGCTGCTGCATCTCCAGCTGCTGCCGCCCCTCCTGTTGTGGCTCTAGCTCCAGCTGCTGTGGCTCCAGCTGTTGCCGCCCTGCTTGCTGTATTTCTAGCTGCTGCCGCCCCTGCTGCTGCCGCCCAGTCTGCTGCCGCCCCAGCTGCTGCATCTCCAGCTGCTGCCGGCCCTCCTGCTGTGGCTCCAGCTGTTGCCGCCCCTGCTGCTCTGCTGGTTCTTGCTGCTGAGTGTCTGGCTCTGGATCTAGACCCTCTTTTCCCACCCTTCAATCTGGAAAGAGAGCAGCTAAATCAACAGACACACGGCACACTGGTGTTATGAGTTTAGACAGACCCATGGACTGATGTGCAAACCTCCGGTCTCTACTTTATTACTCGTTGTCTTTTGTAACACATCTCATTACTAGTGAATCTGAAGTGATAGTCAAATTTGGTTATCAAATTGCTTTAAAATTCCTAATTCTGATTCAAAATAGAGGAGTATTCAAATGTTCCCCTTCTAGATTTTTCCCTATGTAATCATTTTCTCTGTAACCCATTTTTCATGTGGAATGGCTTGGTATTCTCCAATAAAAATTATTAGCATTCAAAAGTATTAAGTTGCTTATCTCTCATTATTTCTCATTCATGAAATGTGCAGTGCACATGGCACTCTTCTGTACAACACAGCAGTGCCTGTCCTTAGGAAAAATCCTACTTCACCATCACCACCAATAAAATGAAATTAGCACCAATGAAATTTGTATTCAGACCAGGATTCAGTCTCACAGCAGAACTGAGATGAGGTTGAAAGGGAGGCATCTTTAAATCTAATATGTCTAACATGGATCAACATTGGTTCCCAAAAAGGAGTCCAAAAAGCCATAAACCATGAATTAACTTCAACCAATTTACATATAGACAACTCGGGATAGGATGGAATCAGAGTTTGTTCTGAATTCTGAGTGTACACCTGCCAAGGGTGTCCGAAGAATCAGAATAGATGTTGATAGAGGATTGGGTCACCACCTCCAGCATGGTCAAAGAATGTAGTGTTTAAGTTTCGGTCTGTGCATTTTACCTAAATTCTTTTTTTAAAAAGATTTATTTATTTATTTTATACAAGCACTGGGTACAGTCAGACGTGTGGGAGGGTGAGAGAAATCACCAGAGCCAGAGCAGGGAACAGAACAGGCAGACTGACGAAATACACTGCTGAGGGGAGCAGCGGGCATGGCAGGAGAGGTCAGCTGCGCCATATGGGATCCTGCTGGCAGCGGGGATTGAACTGGCAGAGGCTGCGGGCAGCTTCGCAGGCCAGCACTCAACTGCTGCGCCACCAGGGGAGGCCCCTACCTAAATTCTTTCTGCTTTTCTCTAAAGATCACAACAGTCACCTATCAAGGATGCCACACATGAGGAATCACCAGGGCTGCAAAGGAAAGCCACACTGATATATCACCTTGCTCTGTTATGATGGCAATTATTTAATATTAAATGATAAAATAGGTAACAGGTACCAATGAGAACATGGAGGAAAGGAACCCTGGTGCCCTGTTGGTGAGAACATGAATTAGTCCAGCTAATAGGAAAATAGTATGGGTTCCTCCAGAAATAAAATAGAGCTATCATTGGGTCCAGCAATCCCACTTCTGGTTGTATTTATGCTAAGTGACTGAAATCAGGTTCTCAAAGAGGTACCTGCCTTTCCATGTTTATCACACCATTATTTCAATAACGCACTATAGGAAATAGGAGTCTATCAAAAGAGGAATGGAAAGGAAAATATGGTGTATATAGAAAGTGGAAGCTATGCAGCCTTAAAAAAAGAAGGAAATTCTGCTCTTTGCAACAACGTGAGGGAACCCGCAAGGACATTAGGGTAAGTCAAATAAGCCAGACACAGAAAAATTAAATGCTGAATGACCTCCCTGATGTGTGGATCCCAAAATAATCAAACTCACTGAAGCAGTGTGTAGAGTGCTCAGTGCCAGGGGCAGAGAGACAAGGAAATGGGGAGATGTTGGTCAAAGGTGCAAAGTTTCATTCTGCAGGTGGAGTAAGCTCTGGAGATAACCATGCAGCGGGGTGATGAAGGCTGGCAATATGATTTTGTGTACTTAAAATTTCCTAAGAGGGTATGTTTTATTTTGTGTTCTTACAATTAATAAAAAAAGATTTTTTTTTAATTTCAAGCCAGATTATGAATTTTCCGATTTATTTTCAGATCTTCAAGAATCTCCTCATTTCTCAAGTAAAAATTTGAAGGGGGAAAATCAATAAAGAATCAGTGGTATAAAGGAACATGGTCAACAAGACATGTTCCCTTTTCACTATAATTCACCTCATTTGATAGTCTACTTTGAAATAACCATAGATTCATTGGAAATTGGAAAACAGAAAGTACAGCACAGTTCCGTGTGTCCCCCGGCCCACACCTCATGGTTACATCTTATAAATCACAGTTTATAGCAAGGCTAAAAAATTGAGTGCAATTCCTCCTTCAACCCCTGATTTCTGCATTAATGTGTTCCAGCAGGAAGACATGCTGCATTTTGAATACTCACCAGGCATTAACTGTATTGGGGTTCCAATTTACCTGAGTAATCAACTCTGTACCCCTTTGGGTCATTATTGCTACATATGCTTGGTGGGGTGTTATTCCCTAGAAGGTGACCTCCTCTTATCTGGGTATGGTGCTTTAGATCTTAGAACTGGCTCGGTCCAGATATTGAGTAAGGTATGAAGACGTTCCATTGGGATCACTGACCTCAGTCAAGAGTTCATTCTCTTTTTTAAAAAACTGTTTGATGTAACATTGGTTTCCAACTCTGCAAGTGATTCAGAGGTACAGGATCACACCTCTTCAGATGTCCGTCACCACACCACACCCCCCACCAAGGTACCCACACTGTAGCCCACTGGGTTATTCCTAAGTTCTTCCAAACACACACACACACACACACACACGTGCAAGTACCATTGTTGGCTGCCTATATCTTGTTCTGAGGGTCACCAGGCTTTCTAATCTATATGGGCGGGTGTTGGTCACACAACTTTGCCCCAGTTGCCAAACCTGGAGCCCATCAATCATCATGCTCACCTTACCTCTCCTAGGTAACTGTTTCTGCAGCCTCTGCTAGTTGATGTCTTATGACCCCATCACTCCTAAGCAGCGCATTTCTGTGCCAGTATGCCCCACCCTCTGCTCTGACTGTACAGATGAGGCATTACTGACTTTCTCAGTGATGCTGCTATTACCTGTTCATCCCTCATTCCCTTAGTTAACAGGTTGTGCCGGTCCCAGGGAGCATTTAGTCATCTGGGTTTCCTGTGCTTATGACTAGATCCTCCAAGCACATCCACTTATCTCACTGTTTGATCTGTGAGATACCAGATTAAGTTGTACCTGTTCTCCATTGTTTTGTAATGTTACCTCACACTTAGCAGCTCAAAGCAACACAACTTAATTATTTCAGAGCTCCGGGTCCCTGGGTTTTCTGGTTCTTAGTTTTTCACAAGACTGCAGCCAAGGTGTTAGCTTCACTGGGGTCTCCTCTGAAGGTTCATCTGGGGAAGGCTCCACCTCTAGTTCACACCTGAGGTTGTTGAGAGGGTTCAGTCCTCAGGGGCATTGCGGTGAAAGCCTCATTCCTTGATGGTGGTGAGGGAGGCTGTGCTCACATCTGAATCATAAAGATCTCTGGGCCTCCCCAGTGGTGCAGCGGGTTGAGCACCACGCTGTGAAGCTCTCCGCAGCCTCTGCAGCACAGGTTCGATTCCTGGCCGGCGAGGGAGAAACCCACATGTCTCCTGTCTCGACCACTGCTCCCCTCAGCACTGTCTTCGGTCCGTCTGCCTGTTCTGCTCCCCACTCTGTCTCTGGTGAATCCTCTCATCCTCCCGTGCCTCTGACCTGTACCCCAGTTCTTGTATAAATAAATAAAATCTTTAAAAAAATGAATCATAAAGATCTCACCCATGTAGCTGGCTCCATCAAAGGCAGTGTGAGACAGAACTGAAATCTCAGGCTTCCATCACTCAATCACTTGATGTTTCCTTACACTGTTAGCTGCAAGTGCCCACGGAGAGGGAATCACACACAAAGAAGAACAAGAGGTAGAAATCCTGGGCCTAAGCAAGTTATCGTGGTGAAAGATTACAAGGGGTTTGGTCTTTAAATGGTCCTAAGTATGGATTATGCAGGATGTCTCAGATGGTGATCCACTCGTTCTTGTGTGCTTGCGACCTACCTGAAGTTAACCCTGAAATGCTGAGTGCTGTGGACTCTCTCCACCCTAGGAAACAGGGATGGTGGTTGCCATCCCATGGAATTACTGGGGAGAGTTTAAACAAAGGCTTGGTCCTCACAGAACAGCTCTGACCACGCCAGCCTCACAGGCATCACATCAGCCACCTCATAGGCACGTGTCAACTAAAGGTGTCAGGCAGAAAGTCAGTCACACTCTTGCCACCTGTTTGAAGTTCTAGGTCAAAGCTACTCTATAAAAACATAATCTTTTAAACACTGGTTTAAAGTCTGTGTGGTGACGGTGCTCACTGCGGTGACGTGTGTGTCCTCACTGGCTGGTGGGTTTGTTCTCTGTCGTAGCAGGTGTGGGTTGCCTGGGTGTGTCCATTGGCCAGACGTAGCCAAGCGCCACACTGAGGATCTGTGCATTTGAAGGTGTGTGTGTCTTACCTGAAATGTGAAATAAGTCATGAAAATAATTAAAAATAGCAAATAGTAATTATTACTTATGAATAAATGTATGGGCTTGCCAAATTGTGACGCTAATTTGCCTTAAGTACAAATCTTTACAGTGCTATGTCGTGTAATCAGTAGTTGAAATCCTCTAATGTTACTCTACCACAATCTATATGGTTGTGTGTGTATTTGTGTGCTGCATGCTCACACACATGAGTTTGGTCTTCCTGCAGACTGCAAATTCCCCAAGAGGAGACTCTAAGTCACATTTGTAACCCCAAGAGCTGGCAACATGTGTCTTCAGAAAACCCACTCACACAATTACTTCATTAACGAGGCAGGCACTTGACACAGATCCTTCTTCAAAACCCATGTGAACAGATTAAGGCAGCGGGTCTCCATATGTGTACCTGGGCCCCTCAGCATAAAGGTGATATGGACAATTGCTAGAAATGCAGACCCTCGAGCCCCACCCCCCTATCAGAAACTCAGGGTGGAGCCCCAACTATTTTCTCATGTATTTTTGAATCAGATCCTCACTAATAGAGGATAAATAAAAATCCTTTTAAAAGTTTGATTTTATCAAAACATTCACATTTCAAATTGAAAATGTGTGCTGAGTATTTCCCATCTTTGGAGGTAAGTTCTAAAGAGAGGCACACTCTGATTATTCAACTTTTGTTTTTGTTTCATCAAGAAATGAATGAGAGGGCCCTCTCTGGTGGCACAAGGGGTTAAAGTATCAATGCTATCTATCAAGCTATCGCCAGCCACTGCAGCATGAGTTTGATCCCTGGCCAGGGAGCTGACCCACATGGCACAGCAAACCTTTCCCATCTCGCCCTCTGCTCCCCTCAGCAGTGTATTTCAGTAGATCTGCCTGTTCTGCTCCCCACTCTGTCTCTGGTGTGTCCTCTCACCTCCCCACACCTCTGGCCTACACCCCAGTTCTTGTATGCATAAATAAATAAATCTTAAAAAAAAAAAAAGAACAGTGAGATTGGTAATAACAGAAACTGTGTAGATAAACTGCCTAACAGGGCTTTAAGAACATGACGCAGGGCCTCCCCGGTGGCGTAGTGGTTGAGGGCTGGGTTGCGAAGCTGCCCGCAGCCTCTGCAGCGCCAGTTCGATTCCCGGATGCTCCCCGGCCACCGGAGGAGGGTCCCACATGGTGCGCAGACCTCTCCTGCCACCCGCTGCTCCCCTCAGCAGTGTACTTCGGTCCTTCTGCCTGCTCTGCTCCCCGCTCTGGCTCTGGTGAATTCTCTCACCCTCCCGCGCTTCTGACTGTATCCAGTGCTTGTATAAATAAATAAATAAATCTTAAAAAAAAAAAAAAAAAGAACATAATCCAAAGATTGAAATATCCAAGGAAACCAACTCTAGTGGTGGAAATGACAGCAAGGTCACACTCACAGAGGACCATCTCCTTCCTCATTGCTCAAAAGCGACCCACGAAATCAAATCTTTTCCACTTGTCCCAGCCACAACCCACACTATGCAGAAGGGATTCCTTCCCCATTGGTCATTGAAACAAAGGCACAGCCAGATTTGTCCCTATCCCAAGCTGGTGGGAACATTAAGGGAGGGTAGGAAATGTCGTTCCAAAAGTTAAATATCTTCTGACGCTCTCTGAGAAGGATGATGATGAGAGAGGGGTCTACAAGATGCCAGAGGGTATGAATCAGCAGGAAAAGCAGATTGGAGAGTGTTTATCACATCTGAAAAAGTGTGTTTGTTTCCAACAAGTTTTAGCCCTTAAATTAACATACATTCTTGTGTAATCTGATAATTATCTGAAGAGTAGGTAAACAAAAACAAGGAAAACAGAAAGATGATACACCCTCCCCAGACAGTATATAAGGGCTCTGGCACAAGGAGACTTTCAAACTCTTATATCTCACTCTCCTGGAAACCCACCCAGCACCTCCACCCTCTGACACCATGGTCAACTCCTGTCGTGGCTCCCTCTGCTCTGAGCAGGGCTGTGGCCAGGCCTCCTCCCAGGAGACCTGCTGCGCCCCTTGCTGCCAGCCCACCTGCTGCCGCACCACCTGCTGTGCGACCACCTGCTGCCAGCCCAGCTGCTGCTCCCCCTGCTGCAAGCCTTGCTGCCCCCCACCTTGCTGCTCCCCCTGCTGCAAGCCTTGCTGCCCCCCACCTTGCTGCTCCCCCTGCTGCAAGCCTTGCTGTCCCCCACCTTGCTGCTCCCCCTGCTGTAGGCCTTGCTGCCCCCCACCTTGCTGCTCCCCCTGCTGCTCCCCTTGCTGCCGCCCCAGCTGCTGTATCTCCAGCTGCTGCCGCCCCTGCTGTGGCTCTAGCTCCAGCTGCTGTGGCTCCAGCTGCTGCCGCCCACCCTGCTGCATCTCCAGCTGCTGCCGCCCCTGCTGTGGCTCCAGCTCTAGCTGCTGTGGCTCCAGCTGCTGCCAGCCCTGCTGCCGCCCCTGCTGCCGCCCCTGCTGCTGCCTGCGCCCCGTCTGTGGCCAGGTCTGCTGCCAAACCACTTGCTACCAACCCACCTGTGTCATCTCCACCTGCCCCCGCCCCACGTGCTGCGCTACACCCTGTCCCTCTGCCTGTAATCTGTGATGGCCTCACAGATCCATAGAGTGCATTGCTCCCATCAGGCACTAGGAAATGGACTCCTTAGCTGCCAACTCCTCTTCTGATGTGGCATGCATTTCCTCTGGGAAATGGCAGATGAAAACACTTGTCAAATAATTTGATCCCAGGCCAAAGGCTTCAAATGCAGACCAGCAAAATCTTCATTCTGAGTATACACTGATTGTGATGGCCTCACTTAACATTGTTTCCCCATGTTCTTAATAAACAGCCACTTCCCTTGATATTGATCTGATTTGCAATGATTTGTGTGTGTGTGTGTTTTCTATTGTGTGCATGTGCACGTCTTATCATGTCACACCATGGAAGTGCTTCAAATGCGGGGATCTGTTGGCACTGAGGTCCCACTTGTCATTTATTGTATTTTAAGTTTTACCATTTACGACATGGGGAACGTTCCCCCCATGCTGCCTCAGTTTTTTTGTGAAATGGGTAAAATATATTATGTCCATCCAAGTTTCCAAGTTATAACCCATGCACTATACACAGCTTAGGGTGGGCACACGATAGATTCTCAATAAGTGTCATGGCTCCTGTTTTATTGAAACACCACCCTGGGCTAGATAAAGACCTCAGCAGAGTATCCTCTTGATAGAACAGCAAAGACAATTTGTATAATCGTCTCACTGCCCTTATAAGTCAAAAATAAGTTTTAGTAGATGTCTCAAATGTTCCTCAAAAACTCTGCTGAGTTAAACATCATGAAGTCTTTCACTTGACTATGTTCTGCTTCCGGTCGCCTGTATCACAAGTTGTGTATATTTCAGGTGTTCTCCCGACTCTAGTTGTTCCTCTTCCCTCCCTCCCACCTTGCCCCTCTTCTTCTTTCCTGCTTTCTCACCTTCCTTTTCTCTCCAACCACAAAGCTCTCCTTCAGAATATTAGGTATGCCTTCCCAACCCAGATTCCTGGTAATTTATGAAGTTCATGTAACTTTTTCATAAAATGTTTAAAATTTCTTATTCATAGATGCTCAAAATTCTATTATTTCCAGACTGAAATGCCTTCATAGTTATAGTCTCTTATGTCATTGAGCTCTTTCCATCTTCTTGATGGCATCTGCTCTCCCATGTTAGCCTTTTGTCACCTTGCATGGTCATACTTAAGGGAACACAGGCAGGATGTTTGTTTTAGAATCAGTTTTTCATCAGCAAAACTTAGAAAAGCATGATCGCCTCGTTAGCTCCAAGAAGTCACCTATCTATCTATAGTCATCTATCTATCTATAATAGATAGATACTATCTATTATACTGTCATGTTAATAGGAATGTAAGAGCCTCTAAGTTTTGGTTCGTAATCTGAATGACACTAAAAATGTTTTCAATTCAAATTTTACATTCATCAGTTTTATCTGTTAGCCATGTTATGTTTCCAAATAACAAAAGTAACTTACTGTTGATTATTCCTTCCAAAATTTAAAAAGAAAAATCTTTGAAGATTTTGGATAGAAGTCAATGTTGGGGCCTCCCCTGGTGGCGCAGCAGTTGAACGCTGGGCTGCGAAGCTGCCTGTAGCCTCTGCAGCTCCGGTTCGATCCCCGGCCACCGGGCGAGGGTCCCACATGACGTGCAGACCTCTCCTGCCATGCCTGCTGCTCCCCTCAGCAGTGTACTTCGTCAGTCTGCCTGTTCTGTTCCTCGCACTGGCTCTGGTGAATTCTCTTGCCCTCCCATGCTTCTAACTATACCCAGTGCTTGTACAAATAAATAAATAAATCTTAAAAAAAAAAGAAGTTAATATTGAATGTGTTAGGTCGGGTATAATTTCTTTTCACGTCATATAAATGCCTCACAGACATTTTTATCTTCATTCTTCTCAGTTTACTCCCTAATGTTCTGTAGAACCCAGCCCTGTCTTTTCATACAATAGAATTACCAAATCTTTCATCCTCCCATGTGTTCTTCTCTTATAACCACTAATTATAGGGTGCCAGCTCTGGTTGTAACATTACAATTTATTAGGTAGAGCTAAATCAAAGAATATGTTTTTTACTGCCTTTTTCAGTATTAAAGTACATAAGGCTTTTAATTTCCTGCTTTTACAACAAGAACTGGGTCACGGAGGAAACAAGTTAGCACAAGAATCCACAAAGTCTGTAAAGGAGCTTAGGGGAAGTGACAGTCATAGCACAGTACCTGGGGTTCCTACAAGCAAGAAGCATCACCCCTGAAGGCCATGCATGGATTGGAAGAAGGAGTCCAATGGTCACTACTTACAGACCATCAATGTCAGTCACTGCTGCTGGGGAGAGTGAGGGAGCTCTAAAAAGCCCAGAGGTGATATGGAGGTCAGATAGTAGAGAAAGTCACAGTAGAGATGAGGTTGTGAATGGGAAAGTGTGGCTGGAGTGATTATTCTGTGGCTCCATCAACTTTACCTTATCTATAGTTGTGGTGGAGCATCAACTAAGTCTGCCCCACACGGTTTACTTGACCATGTAAATATAGCCACGGAATTACTGAGGCCCTCCAGCTGGTCAACACTAAGCCATATAGAATTTCAGAGGAGCAACAAGAAATGACCATTCTGATAGGGACTAGCCAAAGCAAGAGTTTTAATTCCTACCAAGTCCCTTTTAACAGTCCTCTCTGGCCAAGGCATGAGAAGACATTCCTGAAGGGTAACAGTGGGCTCTACAATTAAAGAAGGTTGGGTCTCTGATTGCTCCAGCTGTGACATTTCTACACAACCTTACAGGATGCACAACAGACCAGCAAGGCTGGAATTCCATAGAGACTCGCTAATACCAGGTTCACAGTCCAATTAGGTGCCATCAACTTTCTCCTGGCACAGGAGCCAGGGCACATGTGCTCTTCTGCCTCACTGACAGCTGAGTAACTCGCAAACTGCCATCATCTATTGAGATGGCTTTGAACTTGATAATCATGAAGAGCAAGCTAAAATTATACCCTGGTGATTCTAGAACTAGTGCATGAAAAGCAATTAATGGATTGGAACAAGAAAGAGACCCAGATACATAAAGACATTTAGTATTTTAAGCCCGTAGGGGAAAATGTATTATTTAAAAAATAGTGTTGGACTTTGTTATATCAGATACATTTATACTTCCTGTCTTATTATCTGGATAAATTCCTAATGCATCAAATATTTGAAAATGTAAAATATGAAACTGTGAACTTGACAGAAGAAACTATGAGACAGCATTTAAGCAAATTTACAAGAAGAAAGGCCTTTCAAAGGATGTCACGAACCTTTTGATAAATTTTACTTTATCAAAACCTTTTGATAAATTTTACTTTATCAAAAGTAAACAGCTGCAGGGCCTCCCCGGTGGCGCAGCGGTTGAGCGCTGGGTTGCGAAGCTGCCCGCGGCCTCTGCGGCGCTGGTTCGATCCCCGGCTGCTCCCCGGCCACCAGAGGAGGGTCCCACATGGCGCGCAGACCTCTCCTGCCGCCCACTGCTCCCCTCAGCAGTGTGCTTCGGTCCTTCTGCCTGCTCTGCTCCCCGCTCTGGCTCTGGTGAATTCTCTCACCTTCCCGCGCTTCTGACTGTACCCAGTGCATGTATAAACAAAACAAGCAAACAAACAAAATAAATAAATAAAACATGCCTCTATTAAAAAAAAAAAAAAAAAAGATTTAAAAAAAAAAAAAGTAAACAGCTGCATGGCTCAAACCACATAAACAGGTCAAAGAAGCAAGAGAACCTAGGAGTAATATTTGAAATTTACTATATATAAAAGGCTATTTTTTATCATATATAAAGGAGACCTACAAACTCAACATATGAAGACACTAAACCCAGTAGAAAAATATAAATTATAAGTAATTTGTAGAAAAAGAAATACTAAGGGCCTCCCCTGGTGGCGCAGCGGTTGAGCGCTGGGCTGCGAGGCTGCCTGCAGCCTCTGCAGCGCTGGTTCGTTCCCCGGCCGCTGGCGAGGGTCCCACAAAAAAAAAAAAAAAAGAAAAAAAAAAAAAAAAAAGAAAAAGAAATACTAATAATTCTTCCACATCTGGAAAACTGTTCCACTTGACAATAAGAGAAATGAAAATTAAAATTAGGTGAAAAAAACTTTCTATTTATCATATTAACCAAGACAGATATTTATCTCTCTCTCTCTCTCCCTTTCTCTCTACACACACTCAGACACACACACACACACACACACACGTGTATATGTATAATTATATCAATAGAATGGGGAAAACAGGCATTCAGACCTTTCTGGCAGAAGTATAAATTGGTACAATCTAAGAAAACTGATGCTTGCATTATCTAACAACTGTTACAAATAATGTTTATGCTTTAGTCCAGTAACTTTATTTCTGTATGAATTTATCCTGTAGAAAAAATACTCACAGTAGTGAAATTATACATGATTAAGCAAATTCATTGCAGCAATACAGGCTAGAGCAAAAGACGAAATATCCACCAACGGGAGATCAGCTAACTAAATTATGGTGCATTTGTCCACGGGCTACTAGGTAACTATAAAAGAAAAAGAACGGAAGCTGTGTTTACATTATCTGAGTGTTTCGCGTGAAAACAGCAAAGCAAGAGGAGTATGAGTGGTCGACCACCATTATATAAATGAAGGAAATGGATAAATATTTCTATTACTTTCTTAAATATTAAATATCTCTAGCCACTCTGGAAAGAGGATCGAGGTGGCTGGAAAGGAAAGGGAGGGAGACCTTTTCACTTTGTCTCTGTTTTTTGTACTTGTGAGATACAGAAGATACAAAAATATAGAAAAGATAACAAATATCCACCTATTTCTCCATAGACTTCTTTTTTTGGTTTTCACTCTCCACTTCTTCCCTATCCAAGATGATGCTGAAAGGAATTCAAGCTTTTCCTACGTTCCTTCCAAAGGGGATTATTTTCTTTTCATGTCTCATCAATGCTGGTCTCTTGACATGCACACAGACACAGGGATGGACAGAGAGGGACTGGCCACTCCCTCTGGCCAAGATCAGTGGGCTTGACTGGAGGACTATG